CAGCTACTAGTACACGCGATGTGGCATCTTCATTCATTCATTCAAATCTTCTTCATTCATTCATTTAAAATCTATGTGGCTGCATGTGCAAAGTCGTGTGGTGGCTACATGCATGTCATTCAAAGTCGTACAGCTACTAGTACACGCGATGTGGCATCTTCATTCATTCATTCAAAATCTTCTTCATTCATTCATTCAAAATCTATGTGGCTGCATGTGCAAAGTCGTGTGGTGGCTACATGCATATCATTCAAAGTCGTACAGCTACATGCGATTTGGCATCTTCATTCATTCAAACTCGTATGGTGGCTCCATGTATAGCATTCGTCATTCAAATTCGTATGGTAGCTACATTGTCAAAGTCGGTGCAGTTTTACAGTAACGTAGCGTTCCTCATTCGGCTGTGGAAAGCGCCTTCGAGTTGCAGATCCAGCCAGCCGGGCAGGCAGTCCCAGGGCCCGACGTAAAAGTTTCACGCGGTGGTGCTACGAAGTATTGTTTTGACGTCTAGTTGTAGTGCAGCTGGAAGCTCGTGAGGAGGTAGAAGACGAGATTCGATGCGATGATGCAAAACCTTGCTTCGGAAGCTAGCCTCCGTCCTATACCGGTATTAGACCGCACTCTCAGCATCATCCCCAGTATACGGTACCTGAGCAGTGCAACAAGATTGTTAGGAAGTTATGAATCGCAATCGAATGGCTCCGAGGCGACTGCTCCAAGCTGCTATTATTCTTCTGCTGCAGGACACTGCCGATGCGTATGTTCAATGCGAGGGAATCAAATTTGACACGCCGCATGCATGATGTACTAGGACGAGTTGCTCTCTGGTCAAGCAAGCCATTGCATCTGGATCTTTTCCGATTGCATGACCAACCTTGGCGAAGAATCCTGATGAGCGAGCTGACGACTGCTGGTGGCGGCACAATCGCTGCGCTACCCGGTCGTCACGCGCAAACCCCAGTCATCGAGGCGGATTCATCCTCACTGATGACAAATCCACTTGTGAAGCTCAGCCAGGTTGCTCTTGGGTCGGAGGGAAGAATGTGATCTTGCCTATACTGGCCAGTGTTGCCATGCTGTGCGTGTTTTCTTTGTTGTCTCCACCGCCACAGAGGAGCTGCCACCGGGCATCATGCAGCATTAGAGGGACCACCGGCAGCAATCTCAGACGAGAACGAAAACGACAAGAATATTGTTGTGGCTGACTTAAACGCACCACGCGGACGAAGATTCGGCAATGCTCGTTGCCTAAGAATCAGCAAAGCTAGATTTCACGACTGCACATCTAGGTTTGCTCTTTATCCTCTGGTTGCCGAGTCAAAAACGAACTCTGGAGTGGGCCATGTGGTCGCATTCTGACTTCTGGCAGTGACGTTGCTGCCACTGCGGTAGCACTTATGATGGCAGGACAGTCGTCTGCCGTTGGCCTCTCATAGCACAGTAATTCCAAGTCAGGCTGTGCATTCTGTTTTGTTAGCGTGTGTTTTTTCCTACTCATGATACAAGTTGAGCATTTGATTCATTTTGTTTCTGATAGAGATCCTGAACCTGTTGCATCAAGAAAGCTGCACGTTCTTGCGGTTTTCCTTTGAATGGATTTGCTGAACGGGGGAGAACCCTGGTTTCCAAGTAATACGTTTGGATGGGACGACCTGTAGACTTCATTCTCTCAAATAATGTGTATGCGTACCCGGATCTCCCATGCACCAACGAGTCACAATATTTGGACGCTAGCTCTTGCTCCACGGAAATGTAGGCAAGTTCATCGGGACCGCTACTGTGCGCTGGAATATGATTGTTGAAGCCCTGTTCCACTCCATGTACCCTGATCTTGTTTGTGTAGACCCAATGATGCTTTGAAGCATGATGTTGCCGAACCTCTTCAATAGTACTGGCATCATCTGTCAGAAGAAATATGGTAGTGTTGGCGGTCAGATTGGGAACTTGATCCAAGTATTCTTGAACTGCCGCATACCGACGGTACGGCGGTTTTGGAGCACCGGCTACCCCAACACGCAGGCAATTAGAACAATACAGAAACAAGCATGAGGGCCACGCACAACGGCAAGATTTATCGAGCAGCTTCCCCCGGAAATTTACATAATGATCCGATGCTTACCGTCTCCTCGCCGAACATGCATTGCTAGACATCCATTCTTCCTCAATGTGTGCTCAATGGGCTGTCGAAGATGATAGAGCTGTTGCCTCAAGAATTGCTTTGGTCTAGATAGGTACTCCTCTATCCACAGCCTTTGCATGACCTGCGTTTCGTTCCCATTTTCAGGTCGCTTTTCATACCTTGGTTGGTTCTTGTCTTCGCGACTGCAGGGTGATATCGGCAGATAAAAGCATGTCTGATCCCTCTCTTTACAGTTTGCCCATGTGCTGTTGTTGTCGGGTCTAGAAAACGTGTATAGCCAAGGCCATTTTTGAATGGTTTGAAACGGCTTTCGTTGTGTGTAAGCTTCCCAGAAGGAGTGAATCAGCCACATGAGGCTGGCACCGTAGCCTGAGTTGATGTTCACAGTTGCTCTCATATCTGAACAGTTGACGGAAAAATTGTAGTTACTTGGCAAGGGTCGTTCTAGAGATGAAATCTCGTTCGTGCTGGATTCGTCAATATCAAACTGCCATTGAAGCCAATGAAGATCTCGAATGAAGGCACGCTTGGTGTCATTCTGGACGGGAGCAAAACAAAACTTGAAGGAATCTTCATGGACCACTTCCCAATCAGGATGATGCATCCACCAGTCGTCGGCGGTGACATTCCATAGCCCGCAGCAGTACGATGCGTTGTTATGACAGCGAACGGGACTCGTCGCGTTCAATCCGGATAAAATCAAAGGTTCGTCACGGTTGTTGGACTTGGCAGCAAGACCCCGCAGATCTCGCTTCAATTCCCGAAACGTCCATGCTTTAGGATTGGAGACATCCAGAGAATGCCAAACAGCCAAAAGGAATAGTCCTCCGAGAATGAGGCGACTATTGGCAGCAGTCATCGTGGAGAAGCGACTACCAGTACTAGAGATAGCAACGAGGCTTGAATTCCTAAAGGCTCCGATGTGTCTCGCTCCCATGATGAAGATACCACCTGGGCCACCGAGATGATGGCACCATAATGTGTTGGCACGTTGAACCAAAACTTTGGGGCTCCCGCGAGCAAAGTGGCCTGCACATCCTCGCTCGCGAGTGACAAGTCGAGTCAGTCACAGATCCAAAATTCATATTATAGCGCACCTGTCCAACCGAACGTCTCCCACTTCTCACCGAGTGACGAGTCCCAACATCCTTTTAGTTATAGTTGCTCTCGAACAAGCTTATCTTCGCACCATCATAAAGTCGATCTCTTGTTTGTTCTTTCACTGGTACCAGTAGTTGCTCTCGAACAAGCTTATCTTCTTGCAAATCATGCGACGGCTGAGACCACAAGAGTCGCGCCGCCACCATGGTAACCAAACTGTGACGGTGGTCACTTTGGGGATTCTTTTAATGATCGTTGTTGGGATTCGAAACAGAGACAACATCGATGATGGTTTGGCATTGCTCAGTCTTCAGGCAGCTTCTGCTTCTACTTCGCGATCATTGCGCGTCGATTCGATACCGCATCTACAGGAACAGCAGCAATCAGAGCAAGCTACACAGCAACAAGTTTCAGCGCCAATGCAGCCAGCGGCGACGCCAGCAGCATCCGTTTCATCAGTAGCGTCTGTTTCATTAGCAAGCAAACCCACTCAACCAATTTCTTTTGATCCATCCACTAAAAGTCTGCATCCAAAATGGAAACTTTGGAATGAAATGAATCAAGAACAGCAAAAGCAAGCAATCCAGGACATTGCACCATACTTGAAAAAGTATGGTCGAATGATCCATTTAAAAGCCTTCAAGCTGCATATCCCACAAGACAAAGTCTGTGAGCTGTTTGTTCCTGGATCAGACCATCGTCTCTGTGGCCCAGCACCACCCAAGCCTTGCACATTCATGTCCTTTGGAATCAACAATGATCCCAGCTATGACATCAAACTGGCTGATACCTGGGGATGCCGTGGCTTTGCAGCTGATCCAACTATTGTACATCCCTCCAAGTTGCATCCTTTGGTGACCTTCCATAACTTTGGCCTCACAACCCTAAGGCCTAATGAAGAAAAACTGGTTAGACCTGAAGAGGAGTGGTGGTACACTTCAATGCCAGCATTGAGAAAGTTCCTCAAACTGGATTATGTGGACATTATGAAAATTGATTGTGAGGGATGTGAAGTGGCCTTAGCCAGGGACATTTTGGCTGAAGATCCAACCTTCTTTGAACACATTGGTCAGTTGACCATTGAAACCCATGTCACCAAGGCCTGGATTGAAACTTATGAGGAACTGTACTACTTTGGCTTGCAGTTCCCACTTTTGGAAGAAGCTGGCTTTGTCATGGTGACCTCCATGGTATTTGGTTGTAATGTGAAGCATGAAAGATGTACGTATATCTGGAATTGTTTGCTCAGTTTGATTGTTGCTTACTTCTATTCATTGTGTTTGCTCCATCAGATGGTTGCATGCCAGAGCTTCGTGATTGGGGCTTTGCTTGTGGCCTTGGCCCAGCCAAGAAGGTTGCCAGGAGCTGTCATGACTTTTTGTGGGTCAAGAAGGAAAAGGCCTACAAGTACACAAATGCATCTGGCTAGCTATCAAATAGTGATCAAACGTACCGTATGACTGGTCCAAGTTGACGATATTTTGCATTCCCGGGGATGGATCTTTGATAGCCAACAACTAAAAACAATCCAATGAATCCCAAATCAATCCTACGAAATTGTGTAGAAGCTCCACAGAGAGTTTCGGCTGTTGTCATCCCTTGCTGGTGGCCATGGAATCCAAACATTACAAAAGCAGTGGGAACGACGCCAGAAAGCCTTGACAACCTTGTGCGTATGTTGCCGTCGTTGCTATCGTGGACCAAGCGCTCGATTCCAGTTTGCCCCCTACCGGCCGTCACGCCACATTGGGTTCCGGTAGGTGTTCTAGTGGCTGGCTAGATGTGACTGCGCACGACTTCAAATTCTCCGACACCGATGTTGTATTGCCATGAACCACTCGTTGTCCCATCTAGTGCCGACCGTGCAGGTCGCAAAATAGTATCCATGATCTGGACCCCAGTTGTGGCATCAAATCCAACGAGCCTCTTTGGCTGTTGACTGACAGCCTAGTGCAGCGCTCGAGCTGTATGGTATGGGCAACGTGCAAAGCTTGGCTTTCAAGCTCTGGCTTTCCGAGCAAAAGGGCCCGTCTCATGCGCGGACGATGCCCTGCTGAAGTGCTCCATCAAAAGTCCTTCGCAGCAGCTCTAGCACGGAAAGTACCGAGGCCGGCCCATCGTAGGGTCCTTGCCCCCGTGGCTGCTCCAACGAACAGCAAGCTTTGGTCCCACAGTAAATGAGCACCTTTGTTGAAAGCGAAGGCTCGTACGGTACTCCCAAGTGAGGTTCTTTTACATATTCCTGCTTTTTATGGGCCTGTCATCTCCATATTTTTGAAAGGCTCGGTCGTTCTGATCCGCCCAGCTAGCAATTGGCCCCACATCTCTCGCCCCAAACAGCGTCAGATTCCATTCCGTGTTCCAGTGCCATCATCCACTCCTGGCCACATCCAGCAGTTCTCTGACGGTTTGTGGCAAAGAAAGATTAATGCACTAGTAGCTAGATAGCTGACTGGCTAGTTGAACCTTCTTCTAACTGAGGTCAGGGGATGGTACCCAGGAGTAACAGGGACGTCAATTTTTATTAAGTGAGAACAATGTTTCCAGGGCGCTCCAGATGAAACGAATTTGGCGTGATGGCCGGACATTTTCGTTTGGTGGCAATAGTCATCATCATCTTTCGCGATGACTACAAAGAAGAAGCATGGCGCCGGCCTGTTTAGGCTGTCTCAATGGTTACTCGATCCAACAAGGTTCATTTTCATTCTCAGGCTCATGACAACCCTCGGTAATACGCTGTGGGTATTGAGTTGCAACATCATAGTTGAAAGCAATTGATCAGCCGCTCCCTGCCTTGGACGATGTCTCCTAAAAACAGCAGACTGGATGCGCTCGTGTCGAGGCGACAACGACGAAACGGGCGTCACGATGATCAACATGGCCACAAGTCGATGATTGCCACTCTTGGTGTCCTTTTGATGTTTTCTGGTATGTATGCCATTCCCAACAGAAACAATCATGTCAATGATGCATTGACATGGCTCTCGACGACTTCTCCGCCGCAAGTGGAATCATCAACACCTCCCCTGCAGACACAACAACAACAACAACAACAAGACGCAATTCCGGAAAAGCCAGAGACGTCAACAACTCCCAAAGGAATCTCATTTGATCCATCACCCAAGAGTCTTCATCCCAAGTGGAAACTCTGGCATGAAATGAACAAGGAGCAACAAGAACAAGCCATCAAGGACATTGAACCATATGTCAGAAAGTACGGCAAGAAGATGGGCAGGGCTCCATTCTCCCTGCATATCCCACGAGATCAAGTCTGTGAGCTTTTTGTTCCTGGATCAGACCATCGTCTCTGTGGCCCAGCACCACCCAAGCCTTGCACATTCATGTCCTTTGGAATCAACAATGATCCCAGCTATGACATCAAGTTAGCCAATACCTGGGGTTGCAGGGGCTTTGCGGCTGATCCAACTATTGTACATCCCTCCAAACTGCACCCCTTGGTGACCTTTCATAACTTTGGCCTCACAACCCTAAGACCCAATGAAGAAAAGATGGTGCGACCTGAAGAGGAGTGGTGGTACACATCCATGCCAGCATTGAGAAAGTTCCTCAAACTGGATTACATTGATATTATGAAAATTGATTGTGAGGGATGTGAAGTGGCCTTAGCTAGGGACATTTTGGCAGAAGACCCAACCTTCTTTGAACACATTGGTCAGTTGACCATTGAAACCCATGTCACCAAGGCCTGGATTGAAACTTATGAGGAACTGTACTACTTTGGCTTGCAGTTCCCACTTTTGGAAGAAGCTGGCTTTGTCATGGTGACCTCCATGGTTTTCGGATGCAACATTAAGCACGAAAGGTTTTATTGGCAAGTGTCTTTGATAAGGGGTTTTGCTTTATTGTACTTCTTACTAACTTCTGCTCCATCTCTTTTTTCTGTTTGTTAGCATGGATGAGCTTCGTGATTGGGGCTTTGCTTGTGGCCTTGGCCCAGCCAAGAAGGTTGCCAAGAGCTGCCATGACTTTTTGTGGGTCAAGAAGGAAAAGGCTTATCGCAATGGTACCGGTAGTACTGCTGTTGAGAGCTAGCTAGCTAGCTAGCGACTAGCTAGCTAGCTAGCTAGTCTTTTTCCATCCCACCAAATCAGAGGAAACGAGACAGGAACCAACCTGTTAGATCGAATACATACTAATGCATATCAAATCAACCATATAAGCAAGTGTGTGAAAACTACGGGCGGTAGCAGAGAAACCTTGGTTTAAACGTTGTCGTGGTGTCGTGGGCTAAGAAGTTGTTAGGAGCCAAAAGAACATAGAGCAACAATGAAGGCGTCGTTTCCTTGTGGATTGCAGGGCTCGGAGCTTTCATCCGTACCGTGCCTCTTTTATTGTTCCGGCTATACAGCCCAGACAGCAAAAGCTCAGCCACCGATGCAGCCTTTGGTCGTTTCCCCTTCACTGCTGACTCCCTCTAGCTAGCTTGAGAAACGAATTGCCAGCCCCTTGCCAGCTGGAAGGAGCCAGAACTCAAGGCAAAACAACCAAATGCTGGGCCGGGTTCTTTTTCGTTCCAGCTCTATTTGTTCTGCGGCTTGGAACCCAGATTTGCTTCTAGTTGTCCTTTGAACGTGTTTTGCCTCGTCTGTTACCACCAGCTAGCTCTCTTTTTTTTATTAAGCGAGGAAAGATCAGACACAGTGCCCTTTCCCCGAGTTCTGGCTGAGAGCACCAATCTATTCAGCTTGACAAAAGTTTCATTCTAATTTCACCTGCCAGAGCACTTATGATCTCTAGAGTTTGGTTCTTCTAGTTGGTTTGTTTGTTGATTTGGTTCTCCTAATTTGCTTTCTCGCTGTCCCCTTTATTGCAAGACAGCTCGGCAAAGAGTGTCTACGCTACCACATGCCACCAGCCGTCTACAACCTCGCGGCACTGGGACGCTGCGCGGAAAACTCACTGACCATGCCGTTTTCGTCCAAATGGAAAAAGATTTCGGTTCCATCTCCAAATTCACCATTGTTTCCCCATACCATGCCGGGTTTCTCGGTGACCTCGAGAACGGCCGTAATGGCGACCCATCCACGTCGGTAGTAGCAGCAAATACCGTCTCCCCGCGAATCTTCAATGGAGAAATGGTACCAACCCGGCGATTCCAAGTCTTTCAATTCGACCGAGACCAATTCGTTAAAGGGTGCATCTGTCCCACCATCGTACGACGTGACTGTGGACCACGTATGACCGCCACTGTGTTGATAGAGATGCCATCGTGTTTCTCCGGGAAAATCATCGTGTTTGAGATTAATGTAGACACTGGAAGGTTCGGTGGGATGCGGTCCGGGCCAGAGTTCATCGTACAATTGGGGATAATTGTCGGCTGGTTCAAAGGACGATCCGGGCCAATAGGTTTCATAACGATATTCGAGCACACCGTCATTGTCAATTTCCAACTTGACGCCAATGTAGTAATAGTAAAAGTTGTCGTTAATGTAAACGGGAAAATTGGATTCGGAATTGTCGTCGACGACGGCAAAGGCACCTTGACAGCCGGCGCCGCTGAAATAGTCGCTGTATTGTTTTTGTCGTGTAGTGTAGGACAAGATCAGTGAGAACACATATCACATCACATGGAGAAACACAACCCCACAAACCTATGTTTCATTGTTGTTCTTCTGATCTTACCAAAATCCATCTCCCGCGGCATCATTGACGGCCAGCGTATAGTTTCCGACGGGCAAATCTTGTAGACTGATGGAGTATTCTTGATTGTTCATGGATTCATTAAAGGTCGCGTAGGCATAGACATATCCCGAATCATCGTGTGTAAAGGAGAATCCAGTTTCATTGGCTTTGCCATCGAGATCAAAATAAATGGAGACATCCCCCGGACCGGGATCGGGCACTGTAGGACCACCATCTCCGTCGCAATAATCGGGAGGATAGTCCGTCAATTCGCAGAGGGTATTGCGAATCCACGTCGATGCCCCCGATACACGCGCGTAGACGTTGGGACGGGACGCCGACGCACATTCCTTGCCACTGCCGTACGATGTAATCCCCACAATGGTACCCGTGTTTTGATCCAAGACGGGACCACCACTGTCGCCATTACAACTTCCCTTACCGCCTCCTTCTAGTACACCGGCACAAAACATGACGTCCCGGACAAAATAGTCGGGTCCCCATCGTTCCGTACAGGTATCGTCGTCAATGTATTCAAAATCGACATCCAACAAGACGTCGCTGCCTTCGTACGAATCATTGTCGTAACGACCGTACCCAATGGCCGTCAGTGTATCACCAGGAGCGGGAATTTCTCGTTCCGCATTCAATTCCGCCTTGGCAGCGCCGGTGGGATTGCCACTCGCATCCACCAATGCGCTGGAGTCGAGTTTCAAGACGAGATAATCATAGTCGGATCGCCACCCATCGTACAGGGGGTGCTGAAGGCTGCGGTCCACGGTTCGTTGAATACCCGTATCGACCTCAATCCCATTCACCAAGACACGCGTATTGAGGGGTTGGATCACCACGTCGCAATGGGCGGCACTCAGAGCGACTGATCCGAACAAAAACGACAGAAACAGAAGAAGAAGAGGTTAGATCTGATCCACATACTAGTAATATATATTCATCATCTATTTTGTTCGCACTCACTATCATCATGAATGAGAAAAGCTCCACATCCCGGCAATTGGACAAAGTAGGGATATTCACTTCGGGACGTCACCACTTCGCCACCGATAATGTACTGCGTGCCACTGGCCAACGCTTTGGGAAGACCCTTGTTCTTGGCGGGTTGTTCGCGACTTGGAGCTCGTTGAGTGTTGGGTGGAATCGGGCCATTTTCTCGTTTCTTCACCGACTCCAGTCCCACGGTTTCCGCATAACAAGACAACAAGGGCAGCAGCAGGAGTAATAAAGCTGCTAGAGACGGCCTCATTGTCGTCATGGTGGGATGCTTCTTCAAGAAGACGATCGAGGAGGAGGTTGCAAGTTGAATTTTTAAATTTGTGATCGCGGTCCTGTCAGTCAAGAAGGGTCTTCCTCTAAGTTGCTGCCCCAGTCAAGGATGACTCAAAGAAAACAGTGAAATGCTTCGTTTCCTAAGTAACCAAATGGCAGAGTCACTAAAGAGGGTTATTGTGCCTCATGTATTCGTCGTTGGACCTATGAGTGGAAGTGACGTAGCAAAAGGGAACTGGCAAGACCCAGAAGTTCGCAGTCCAGTCCAGCTTTGACGTCCTGTATGTAATGGCTCCTCAAAGGGGGGTCTACTTCTAGCTAGCTAGATTAGCAATGGGGGGACAGAAGAGGCAAAACTTGGGATTTTGTTCCAGGGATCAGGGGCAGCAAACTGGCTGGGGACCAACACAACGTACAAAGGGCTTGCACTTACTTGAATGCATGGATGCTCCAGCACCAATGACAGGAGTGGGTCCGGGAGTGGGTCCTGGTGTTGGTCCAGGGTGGGACCAGGAGTGGGGCCTGGAGATGGACCAGGGGTAGGTCCTGGTGTGGGGCCTGGAGTAGGTCTGGGAGTTGGATCAGGATCCTGCTACGAGTACTCCATTCACAGCAGCACTGCATGAGCTTTGGCTGAGCATATACATAAAGCCCCTTGTGTTGAGTTGAGTTGAGTGTTGATTGTCACTATTCTAAAATGAGCCTACAAGTGGCCTTTCTATATTTGCACATATTCAAAATTTGTGTAGCTTCTGCAAAAGAGCTAGCTTTGGGCTCCTTCTTTGAGAGCCAATTTGTGCCCTTGGAGCTTTGTGGTTGCAACTGTAAGAACCAGAGTGAATTAGAGGTACGGTACACCCCAGCTCCATCACAGAAGAAGCACTTGTGAGACTGCTGGTACGGGCTGGGCTGGCTGCCTGGCTACCATGAGGTATCAGTTGGATTCATTGATATTGAGTAGCACGGCCTCCTCTATCGCTTCTTTGGACGTGCACTCTCCCTAGTTCACTTCAATCTTGGTGAGCCTCCACCAATTTACTGCTTCTCGATAACTCTGGAGTTGTACAACTGTAGCCTTCGCGCATTTGGAGTAACAACAGAGGGTGGGACATGCCCCAATGCACTCTAGTAGGAACATCCACCCATCTGAGCAGACTATCAACAGATGTACGAAAAACTGACTCCTTGACATCTCCCGCCACAATGATCTGATCACCAGTTGCCAACCATTCCTTCAGTTCTTCTTGAAAGTCTTGGACAAAGGCAGCTTGAGGTTGTCCATCATTGTTGATCCCTTGTAGAAACTCTTTGTGTTGCATGCTGACAGACTGTCACAAGGTTCGTAGATGCTAACCACACGCAGAACTAAGCCACCTTTCCCACGATACCTGGCCCATGTCCATCTTGCCAGATCCTGCTCCATCTTGTCAGATCCTGCTCCCATGCCAAAGTGAGCAGTGAGTCCATTGGCAGTGACTCCTGTACCTCCCCACTGCCTCCTTGTACCAGTTTCGTCATGAATGTTTTGACTCATACATGACCTTGTCTGAGACACATCCAGATACTCTTCCACACGAGCTTGCCATAGATGATGTTCTGACAGTCTTGACCAATTCACATCGACTTCCTGAAGTGAGGTGACATCCAGCCCATAGTTAACAATCGCTGTGAACAGAGCTCATTTTGCTACTAATGTGAGGTTGTCCACATAGATGCTTGCCTGGCTACCATGCCGTATCAGTTGTGATAATTCTACTGATCTCACTCTGGGTTGCCGCGAGCGAGGTATCAGTTGTGGGAATTCTGCCGATCTCACTCTGGGTTGAGGGACCAGCTTCCCTGGGAGAGGAATTCGGAATCTGGGAATGGAACCCCAATGTGCATGCCCCAACATTCTTGACAACCAAAAACTTTGCATCAGGGACAGCGACGTGGTGTGGCAAAGGTTGGGGCACCTCGATACCTAAATCACCATGGGGAACTAGCCATGCACCTATTTGAAACCTCTAGCTAGCAAACTCAGACTCTCAGCTCTCCAACAAAGCTCCTGGGGTTGGATGATGTTGTTTGTAAGACTTGGCTGCCATGCTGGCAAGTGGGGCAGGCTTCAGGGCTTGGATACATGGCAGTTGGTCTGTCAGTGGCTGGGTACTGCAGCACTGGGCAAACACTTTCTTGGCTGGCATCGCTATCACTCCTCAGCACCATCACAGAAGCATTTGTGAGACTGCAGGGAAAAAGCTGGCTGGCTACAATTAGGTACCAGTTGTGGGAACTCTAGCGCTTTCACTTTGGGTTGAGGGACCAGCCATGCTGGGAAGGAAGCTCTGGGAAAGGAACCCAACTGTGCATGCCCTGGCTCTCTCTCAAGTTCAGGGCCAACAACTTTCAGGGACCACCAGGTGCCTTCAAAATCTTCACTGCTAGGGACCGGCAGTGTGGGGCCCATACCCAATCTCCAGGACAAGGCCACTGAGACTGGCTTTTGTAGTTTGGCAGGACTTGGCTGCCCTGCAGACCAGTGGGTGGGCTGGGTCTGATCCTGCAAATTGGTCTGTCATGCTACATGTATTGGTCTGGTCCTGCTCCTTGGTCTGGTCCCCAAGCTGAGCCAGACCAGGACTGGCCCTGGTCCCCCTCCTGGTCCAGCCACTGTTCCTGCTGGATTGGGCTTATGTGGGCTGGGGCTGGCTGTTCCTGCTGGGGTGGGATGGGCTGAGGTTGGAGTGCCTGGTAGCTGTGCTGGGGGAAATGGTAGAGGGCAATCTGGTGCTGACCATACTGTGAATACCAGTTCTGGGGGACAGTGTCGTTGGGCGTGCACTGCTTGGGCTCCCTGTGTTGTTTCCGGCGGTGCTTGGGACCAGGTACATGAGTTAGCAGATGTAGGAATTGTGGTGCTCAGGACAGTTGCTGTGGGGAGTCCAGCCAGAGTTTGGGTTAGCAGTGTTGGGATTCCACTACCGGGCAGCAACGTGGTTGGTTTCTGTATTGATGTTGTCTGTGCTTGATCAACTGGGGATAACAGGAGGTATAACACGGAGCAACAAGGTTGTTGGGTTCTTAGTTGAGGGACTACCAGTGCTCATGCTCTAACCACGCTGTCATACCTTGGGACTGACATTGTGGTGAGTCCAGTCAGTACGGACTGTAGCGATGAAAAGCAATGGAATCACCCTTGCACCTTCGGAAATCCACAACAATCCCTGACCTTTCGCCAGTCGTTTATGCATTTCCATACCCTCCGCGGTCATCAACCAGGCGGTGGCCTATCGCAACTCCTTGTTGCATCGAGTCCCAATTGGAGATGATTGCTTGCCCAAACAGCGACTGGACTCCCCACAATGGTTGTACGGAGAACTGCAGGTCATTTGTGACACCGAAGAAGACATCAGGTTTGACAACTGTGACATAGTTTCCCAGCCGGGTTGCTCTAGCCATTGCAAAAGCCGGAAGAACCAACGGGGGAGCACTGAATGATTTCCAGTATTCATGGATCGTAAACTCCGTAGCAGGCAGATTTGCTGACCCTTGACACGAGTGCGACGCGACAAATCTTTTGACAAGTCTTGGCCTTGTGGCTGATGTAGACAGTCCAGTGTTGAATACCCTCAGCCCTCCGAACCACTACATGGTAAAGGCGAATATGATACATACCGCACCCAGTCTGATTGCTCTTGGATTTCGAGTCCTCCTCAGCCAGTCAAACTCTTCCCCTTCCCCACGGATGATGAAGTCACATCTGAAGGGGATTCTATGAATTGGCAGCATTGCTATGTTGCCACTGACACCACGGCGATCCACCAAGAGCGGAAAGAGGAAGACAGTACGTTGATCTACCATCGCCTTGCCCAACAGCAAACGAAACCTTCCGAAGAAAAATATCATACGAAAGCAAACCACGCATCAATTCTACACTTCTCTCCTCTGCTGCCGCTCTTTCGTCCGCAATAGACAAGAAGAGCTCAACCCATGCAGGAACTGCTTCGCTGACCGCAACTGCCCAAGCGATGATTGGTAGATGTAGTTTCATCAAACCAAACATGGCATCAGGCCATCAGTGCAATGAGAAAGACCTTACGTCTGTTACCAAGTCTAAAGAAGCTGTCTCTGCGAGCTCTTTTGGAAGCAGACACCCCCTGGTACCCAGTCAACGAAAGATTGCATCAGCAGCCGCAACTGACCAAAGGGATGAGTCTACATCCGATCCACCGCTCCCATTGGATGGAAGAGGATCCCAGTCCGCAAGCCACGGCAAGCAGCATTCGGCTCCAAGCATCTCAAGACATTTCCGCTTGAATTGGCCAGAGTCCATCATCACTTCTCTGGTGGGCGGATTGGACTCTTTGACGTTTTGGAAGACCACTCGTGGGTCTCCAATGGCAGTCAGTCAACCGGACGGATGACGGAGCTTTGCCTGATGTCAGCAGTACTCGTAGAATCTCAATTCATCAAGAACAAATCCAACAGAGCTGGAACACGACGCGGAGGCCTTCCACTAGCCCGTAAGGGGCTGATGGCAGCACGGACTCAAAAGCTTTTGCAGCAAGTGTCCAGGCCGAGGATGGCCAGGGCGCTGCATTACATCGGCTCTAGGAGGTCTCACCTTAGGGACTTCACGGCCAATGGAGGACAGACCAACGGAGAATTCACGCTAGGCTTGCTGCGGAACCTACAGTCGTTGAAGCCAGCCATGGAACTCGAAGATGAAGTCAACGCCAACGTCCGCATTTCGGGAGCCAGCACTGCCCATGGTTTTTTGTTGTGGGTCCTTAGGAATAGATTGAAGTGCCTAGGTTTTGGCATAGAAATCGAGCACAAACGTTGCAGGGTAGCTGCAGACGAAGCACTCAAGAGCTTGAAGGAGAAGTACGCTGGGGTGCTGTTCAATGCACGTGTTGGATATTCCTAATGTGACCTAACCTTGGCGACCAACATTCCATTCCCTACTGTAGGATGCCTCTTTGACTTGGTTTTCGACGATGGTTCTTCCATACATATGACGAGAAGTTTGCAAAAAGCCCCGGTCAATGGATGATCGTGTCTGGATGATCGTGTCGACAAAGTCGAGAAACCATCTCAGTCTCAGCGTTGCAAAATAAATAAATCAACAACCTTGGATTCTGGTGTGCTCGACCCCTCCCGTGCAAGATGGCAATCAGCGGGGAAGTCTACAGTCCACATGAAGGGTATCTACGCCAGGAGTGTCTCGAATCAGGAAAGGGCACCCCAAGTGGAGCCAAGTAGACCTTGATTTGTATGCAACACAGAAGGCTGTGCTATTCCCTGATGTTGGCACGCGGAAAGATATTCCGGCTGGCACATTCTTGAAACTGCGCAGTGGCATATTGCCTTCCGAAAACAACAGATTAGCAGGAGCGAACCCTGAAGCTTTCGTACCGCCCAACAGGTGGGAAGGATACGTTTTGTTGGACAGCAAGGAGACAAACCCGAAGATCAAACATGTTGCGAGGTGCCAACCTGCAACGTGATCCGTTGGAGCGACTGCCATAGTGCCCCTACAAAATTCCCTTACTGCCAAAGGAATTGCAGGCTTTGGATCCTTCAAACCGTTGTCTTAAGCCGCTAAATGATGTGTCGTCGGTTGAAGGGGGTTGAGCAGACAAGAAGGCTTCGCGGACTGGGCACGACTGTATACAGAATCAGAATGCCTCCGGCGGAGATTTGACTCTTGAGTGTGATGGCAAGCCTGGCTAGCGGAGAGAATTAACCTCTGCGTTCTCTAGAGTACGCCTTCTTGTGACTCCAGGCAGCACCGTCGTACTACGGATAGAATACGGACTCTTCTCCGAGGTCATCAAATCGGCGCTTGCCTCTTGCAATTCCTTGTTGCATTGGAGTCCCGACAACCTGGTTACTCAGTGGACACCCAGCAACTGCTAGCCCTAGAAACATTATTGATGCTTCCGTTGTAAAGTGGCCAATGTCATGGGAGGAATTGGAAAGCTTGGTTACAATGTTGTATCTGGAACTGGAAAGGTGGCTATCAATGTCATAGTTGGAACTGCAAAGGTGGCCACTGATGTGGTTGCGGGTACGTGCTGGCAAGTTGTGGTGGGAACCAGAAAGGTGGCGCCCAAGCACCGGTAGTCCCTCAATTAAGAGTTGAGCACTGGAATCCCAACCTGGATGCCGGTCAGTTGGGCCTGGAAAGCCTCTGTCTTTGGATGAACCCAAAAAGACTGGAATTACTACAGCTTTGATTGCCAGCCACGAGGTGTTGCAGGATCCCTCGGATGTTGTAGTAGGTACTGGAAAGCTGGACAAACTACGGGACGACGCCAAAATGGTGGTACTCGGTGAAGTGTCCAACGTATTGGAATACGACGTATGCGACGAGGAAATTGATGGATACGAAGCTGCAAGACCGTCCGAGCGCCCAGCAGACGTTTCCATCGCGTCGATCGTTCTCCCGTCGAACGTCCACCGAAGGGAACCGAAAGTGTGGCATCTCGTCGTTGATCCAGATCCACGTCGTTTTTCTTGGCACTGTCTCTTGCTATCTTGGAATGATTATGTTTGGAGCTTGGCGTTGTCAACAATCCGTTTGACGATCCTCGTCGCCGTTCGCGATGATACTACTTTTGAAGCAAGGCATGCACGCCAGATGGTGGTTGTTGCATTTTGCTCGTTGATTCTGTTGTGTCATGGCATCTTGATAGATTCTCACCAACCAGCCATTGATTAGGACGTGCCCACCAAGCTGACTGTCATTGAGGGGCGGCTCGCAATGTCGATCGTGGTGCTCGTGTGGATGGCGGTGGCTGCGCATGCCTCACGGTCTGCAATGAGTTTTTTGGGTCGAAATGGTGAGAGCCCAGGTATTCTGTCTTCGTCCTCATACTTTGGTGGTGCGTGCGGAGAGCCTTGCACACGACTCGACTCTGTTGCTCACACATACGGACGAGGAAGCGGTCGAAGTTGTCTTGTTGGCAGAGGAATGATAGGACGAGTCAATGCCGGTGTCCGTCTGCTTCTTGGTGGCTGTTGTAGAAGAAAACTACCCAGGAAAGATGGATAGCAAGCTTTTGGCTGTAGCTTGGTTTTTTGGCTCTTTTTTGTTACTGTGTGTGGTTGCGTGGGTTGGTGTGGCATTGCTCTTGTTGGTACCGGTAGCATTCGACGGCAGCATGGACTGAGGGGTCCGTGGCGTGAAGGGTCCGTTTCCTGTTGGCAAGTTGCCTCGCGTGAAGAAAGCAAGGGCAATGCCCTCCATTTCCCCTTCGCTCAGCTGCTGCTGCTGCAAGACTTCACTTCCATTTCTCAAATTCAATAAGTCATCCAGGCAAAGCGTCCGATTGTCTGAGAGAGGCAGCAATGTTCCACCCACCAAACGAGGGTAGATCCTCGACGGGAGCGCCAGAAGCCACAACCAGGGGCAATCATGGAGCAGCAATGTATCATTCAATTTGGGAATAGGGCAAGCCCCCCAATCACCCGTGACGGCAACGAGTCTCAAATGTGTGGCCTCCCGTTGGTTCAGCACCACAACAACAGCTGCGGTCCGTGTACGATCCTTCATGAGCAAGCCGTGAACAATCAATTTCAATGGCAATCTCGGAAAGCTCGTGCCCCGTATCTTTGGATTTTCCTTGCAATTCCTCATTTAGGAGACGCTGGACTTTCTTGGAGTAGACGAAGTTCACATCCACTCCCTGCGTCTCCAGATGCTTCGTGACAACATGCGTGGAAGAGCAGGCAGCGCTCAGACTCGTTGTTGGACCAAGAGTTGTTATTGGGGAGTGTTGTGGGTGTGGCACTGAGTGCACCTACAGGGAGCCAAGGTGCCGGGGCTGGCCGTGTATGGCTGGCACTGGTTGTCTCACTGTGGTGGGTGGCAATGTACCAGTAGTTAGACTTGTAGACAGTGCTCGGGCTAGTAGTCTGTTGTAGCTCGTACCATCTAGAATGAAGTCAGGAGATCTTCCAACACAAGCTAATGGACCGACTGGATGATGATGAGATGGTGGAGACGGACCTTTCATGGGCAGACAAGGCTGCGAAAGCAACGGCCCGTGCTCGACATGAGACAGTCAAGTTAACCAAAGGCTCAAAGTGTGGGGAACCTTTGGAAAGAAGTTCATACATCCCATCGGAAAGCACCGAGTTTGCGCCATGGCAGTCGTTGTGATGGTACAGTTGTCATTCGAGAGTGGTGAAGGACCCTTCCAGGTAGACTACTAGATAGTGGTAGGGCTGTTCGTCGTGGTAAGCGACGGCTCGTTTCGATACCATCTTACCATCTTCTTTGCTTTATGTCGTAATTGTAACACGGTAAACGGTAAAAGCTGGGATGGAATATCTTAGTAGCGAGGCATCATTAGGGAGCGGGATTACCCTCTGACACAGTTATTTAGGTAACAATAACGAAGGCAACGCAGCGTTTATTAGGCGCCGAAAAAAATCCTTGAACTCACTTTTTCAACTTTTCAACGTATTTGAAGCAACTCACATTAAATATGTCGCGTCTCTTTTCGTAAGTATCAACGATGCCATGTCACTGGAGACTGGATCTTTGCTTTGACTGGAGTACGTGTACCGGTACTGGGGTACCGGTACGGAAGGCAGATGCGATAAGCGATAAGCCCTCTTTGTCCACGACAGGTACCGTAAAAAAGCCCATGTTTCTGCAGTGTTTCGTTGCTCGACCATTACGAAAGCCGTGGGCGACTGGGCCGAATCTTGGTGGCTCGAAAGACTGAGACAAGCGAAATCTTTGGGGCTCACTGACCTTTGCCGATGCTGCCTAATATATCTGTATACGAGTAGGACACTTGCAGTGATCGTAAATAAGCATCATCATGATCATCATCATGAAATTAAGCGTTTATTCAATTGTGTTGCTCTTCCTTTGCATTTGGCTCTCCTTTTTGTCTGCGTCTGCGGCGGAAGAGACTGCTAGTTCTGGCAGTAGTACGGAGAACTCGAGTGGCAGTCTCCGGATTCCCGCCGCAGGTGGGTTTCTGCGGGGAGACAAGAATGGCGAAAGCCATAGGATTGATGTCACTGAGGTCAATGACAATATCAGTGAACTCTCGTTGCAAGAGCGAGCAGTCGCCCTAAGCAATCTTCTTCAAGATTTTGACAACAACGCCGCGCTGCTCAAGGACATCAAGCATCAAGTTGAGTCGCCTGACAATGAGTTGAAGCAAATCGGACACCCAGACGTAAGTACCGCGGTTGATCAAGTCCAAGCGGCTCGAAAGCCACTTCTGGATGCTGTGGAGCAAATCCGTCGTGTTCTGCTCGTCAAACCAAAGGAGGACAATAAACAAGACTATTCCGGCAGCTGCGGCAGTCCCAATCAACGCAAGGAGAACCGCAGCCATTTCGCCCAGTATACCTCCACGTATAACTCGTTCCGCTCCGAGTCGTTCGCGCAAGACACTGGGACGCACCTGCATTCCCATGTGCGCAGCATTCACGATGCATTGGCAAACGGAGACCACGGATTTATGAAGAAAACATTCAACTCACTCTTGCACAGACACAAGAGACATCTCAAGGAGAAACGTCGTCCTCGGAGGCTCACCAAGAATCAACAGTGCAAGCTTCTCAAGGAGTGCGCTGGTCGTCTTTCGCTCTACGATCTCTACGTCTATTCACACTCGGATGATATCGATCCCATCACGGGAGATGTCGACGACAATGTCGTCAGCTTCGTCGAACCAAACTGGAAAATCAAATACGAAAAAATTCAAGACCTAGTCCAGGAGCTGCGGCCAATATCTGCAAGTGAGAGGCGGACGGCAGAAACAACCTGTGACACTTCAGAAGAGAGAACCTGCGGAGATGGCACTGTAGTCACCCGGGTGCCTCCCAGCTGTGACTTTGCGGATTGTCCGGCTGAAACAGCTCCGGACGATACGGATGCACCTCCTCTGACCGAGTCGGAAGCAGAGTCGGAAGCAGAGTCGGACACCAACCCTGAAATTGAATCGGATACCGCTCCCGAAGCTGATCCGGAGACGGCAGATGCAGTGCTAGATGACACAGATGCATCTCCAACCGTATCGCAAGCTGATCCGGAAGCTGATCCTGGAACCACTCCCGAAGTTGAAGCTGGTCCAACCCAGCCTGAAGCTGAGTCTGAAACCGCGCCGGAAGCTGAGTCTGAAACCACACCGGAAGCTGAGCCGAACGTCGGGGCAGAAGACGATCCAAAACCCCAACCCGAAGCTGAGTCTGACTTTGAGCCAGAAACAATTCCGGAGGCGGAGCCAGAAGCCGAGGTGGAAACAGAACCTGAAGCCGACCCGGCTGAGCCTGGAGCTGAGCCTGACGTAATTCAAGATCCCCCTCCTCCTCCAGCGGAGCCTGACGCTGAGTCTGACGCCGGCGAAAGTGATACCGCTAGTGAGTCATTGGACAACCCACCAGAAGAGCCCCCGGAAGATGCTTATGAGTATGCAACCTGTGATGAGTTGCTAGGGCACTTTCATCGCGTTGGTACGTAACATTGGAGCGCTTGTGCCTTCAGCCTCGCTCTTGAAATCTCGCTCATATTCTCCACTTGCACGCAGTTGAACACAACGATGTGCCGGAGTTGCAACCGGCCACCGTGTCGCAAGTCTGCCTCGCTGAAGGTACTACTGCCTATGTCAAGCTGTCCGCGGCAGCCTCCTCTGCTGCCAATTTGAAGCACATTGCCTCCGTCAAGACAGCATTCGAGGAATCCTATCGTGGAGGCAAGGTTCTGGGGGCGGAATGGGAAAGGGTACAATTCGAATATCCCAAAAGTTGGTATACCGGCACGGGCGAAGTTTACGAATGGCGACAGCTCAAGGCAAGGGACATATCCGTTGGAGCCGACAACACAGTGGTGGCTGTGGATGAAAGTGGCTTTCCCTACAAGTACCAGGGAACAAAGCACTGGAGTCGGTTAGGCAATGTGGGGTTCTTGCATCAAGTCGAGGTGGTCAATTCGAACACAATCTTTGGGAGAGACAGCTCAGGGCTTGTGCACAAATATGATTGGAGAGCTTACAAATGGAATAGACTGTCGGTGCTCTGGACTGACGGGATAGGCGTTCAATGGATCACGGCTTGCTCGAGTGAAGAGCTCTACGCGGTGAAAAACGGAGAAGTCGTGAAATACAACAAGGATTCCAGGAAATTCGAGCGTCCCGGAGGCAAAAAGTTCTCGAACGCCCGAGAGATCTCCATTTCAGCGGATTGCAAGGTCCTTTGGATGATTGACACGAACAAGATACCGCGGACGATCCTCCCCAAGCAGGGCTACAAATTTGCCACTCCAAGGGAACAAACGAGGCTTTCGCATATTTCTGGTGGATCAACATCCAAATTGGCCTGGGGAGTGAATGGCGATGGACAAGTTTACAGTACCCTCGACCAAGGGAAGAACTGGCCTCGGGACGAAGATCTCAACACTCCTGGAACTTCTGTATTTCTCTCCCGGATTGCGGCTGGCACGCCTCTTGAAACCTGGGGACGGCACGGCTCTAATGTCGTTCGACGCCGGAGGGCCCATGACAACTATGTGCAGGAAATTCGGGATCGATTAAGTATTCTGATCGAAGCTTTCCTACTCGAGGTGATTGACTGTGCGGAGGATCTACACAATCACGCAAAGTGGACCCGCACAGACTTCGACGAAGAGTTCGTGTTTGGCTTGGGAGGTCAGACGCCCAAGGGGAAGGTTGCAGACATTCGTGTGCCCATAGCAGTTGACGCTTCCAACCGAAACAAGTACGGATTGATCAAGAACCTTGATTCGCCAGCCTTCGAGTTTGAAACATTCAACGACGTGATGAATAAATTTGAGGCGTGCGCGGACAAGCAAATGCCTGAGCTGAATCGTCTTGTCGTTCTGGCATTGACCAATACCAATCGCGAAACTGCGGAAAACTTGTTCGTAGAGGCTTTTCAGGGGTATGCTGACGACCTTACTGAGGAGTGTATATCAAACTCTTTTTCTTTGTTTGATGATGCTTTGAGTTTGGTGTTTGGAGGCAAACCAAGTCCCGGCTTTATATGTGGGATCAGAGAAGCTGTTGTTGATCAGAACAAGCCCTTTCCAGGGAAGTGCTGCCTTGATGCACCTTTCCAGTTGGAGAGCGACGATTGGGGCCACCCGGTGAGTGAAAACTCGAGCCGACTAATAGTGTCATGAGACCAGCCTGCTCACTGTGAAAGCCGTGCTTGGCCTAGTACGATTGTGCGGTTGAGTGCCATCAATTTGGGCCACTCTTTTCGGGAATGAGTGTTGAGGCCTGTGAAGCCCACGGGGGAACTTTTTGCCCCGAACCAACCGATTGCACAGAATTGAGGGAGTGTCTTTCAAAGGAAGTCGCTTGGGCCAAGGACAACGATATGTTTGCATATGAAAAATACTTGAATGATGCTCCGAACAACTTCACTGACACCACGAGCGCGAAGGAGTGTGGCCTCCTCCGTGCTTATTTTGGGTTTGATGAGACGTAAGTTTGGGCTCGAAAAGGTGTCTGGTTTGCGTTTGAGCGCTCATTGTCAAAGCTCACCGTTGCTTCTTCCGTGCTGGCTACACAGCTTTATCAAGTAAGCAATAATGCGGGGGCTTCATTGTTGTCGCGTACGTATCTTTCAAACTCTCACATGCCACGCCACGCTCGATCGGTTCTCAGCGACAAACAAGTCTGTCGTGATGTCGAGCAACTGAAGCATACCCGTGATTTTGCGTTCTTGGATGAGTACTTCAGTCAAGGAAGCAGCGAGGAACTCGGTGGCGGTGGCGGCGAAGAGTGCAATTGTGAAGTCCCGAGTAAGCCAGAACTGGTCTTCACCGCACCCGATCGGAGTAAGTGGCAAATGGGAATTGAATCTCCATGGACTGTGCGTTTCTTGATTTGATTTGGGATTCTGGCGCTGACCCCGGCTCCGCTCTTGCCCTTTTTGAAATGTCGAAAGCTTGGTCGAGCTCGAAACCTGTCGTGAACGGTCAGACGTGGAAGGCGACGAACTTCGCGTTGAAGAATTCAAAAGAGGCTTTGACCTTTGCAAAGGGCTCCACTGACGCCTTCAAATGTCCCGAAGGCCCATTTTATATTCAAAACATCTGCATGGCTATCCAGAACGTTAGTTCGGCTTTGCTTGGTGCCATTCTCCTGGTTCTCGAAAAGGTACGTGATGACTGCTGCACCGCTTGAAGGCGCTGCTTCTCCCTAGCTACAAAATCGTTCTCGTGACTCTGCTCATCAGGTTGTGGCTATCTCCGAGCACACTTATGAAGAAATGGCCACCATCAATGCAGTTTCAGAGATCAAGATTTCTGAAAAGTAAGTTACTCGTTTTGTCTTGCCAGGCCCCTTAGCTTCGGAGACGCAAGGCTGACTATAGTTGATCGGTTGCAGCTTGGCTGCCCTCGTGATGAACATGGGCGAGCTTGCTGAGTATTTCAACTCCGGGGGTCGAATGCGACGCAACCTGCTTGCAGCTGGCGATGGCGACACCTCTATTCCCGCGGAAGTCAAAGTCGACCTTCAAGTCGAAATTGTGAGCAGTGAAAATCCCAGGGCGTTTCTAAGCATCGCAACGTTGCAAGGTTCAGAGCAGACTCCGGACTCTTTTGAGTTGTGGGTTTTCGACATGACGGAAGAGGACTATGTGCCTGTGTCTGCCTTTAGCACGACGCAGATTCAGCCCGGGAGTACCCTCATTAAGATTCCGGAGGAGGTTGTTGGGCAGGTTTTCACTCTCAAAGTGGGCATCGTTAACCAGGACTTTCCCACCAACGGTCTCGCAAATGCCACTACGCTGATCTCTTTCAGGAGTCAAAGCAAGGGCGCCTGAGCTCACGAAGTCGAGTATGATGGTCTCTCCAGTTGCATGTATGCTTGGGATCCTTGTGACGCCAAATCAGGCTGCGTTGAGCTGTGTATCGCGCCTGTGCCAACTTTTATATTTCACACCTGGCATCTTTTAAATTAATGCACTCAAAGATGAGCAACAGGCAGTTTTGTCCCGGAACAGCTTACAGCTTCCGCTACGGCGAGCGCCCGGGGATCTTGGGAGCCCTTGAAAAAAGCGTCTCACAGTGGTCTTGGCCTCACGAGACGTGAAAGCAGCCGCGGCGAGCTGACGTCGGATGCCCACGACACCGCCACCTATGCTTCCCGTTGCCAGTTCGCCGGTTGCGCTGTGATTAGCTGAAAGAAAAATGTCATGGACTTGTAGAGCTTCGTTGTTGTCCAAACGATTGTGATGGAGCCGTCCATTGTATTGAACTCGTCCATAAGCCAACTGAGGTGGAGTCTTCTTCGCTGGATGTTGCCGGAGCTCGTTCAGGTGATTTTGGGGCTCGTTCGGGTAACGCTGGTACTACAGGAGCGTCCTTTTGCTGCTGGTTGTCGTCTTGGCTGATCTGGTGTTGGTCGTTGTTGTCATTCTCTTCCTTGTCGGGATTTGTCTTGCGGTTACTAGAACCAAATCCGATGCGGCTCTTTTTCTTCCTCTTGTGTGACGGATGATCCGCAGTGGCTACAGAACTGTTGCCGTTCGTTTTGCTTTCTGCCAGTGCCAGTGCAAGCGTCCGCTTACTGGAGCGATTGTTGAATAGGGGGTCTTCATGGTCTGATTCCGTGTGGCTTTGATTGTGCTTGGAACGGCTGTTGCGATTTTTTGGCTGGTGGTGGTGGTTTTCCCGTCTCCCTTGCCACTGCTGCTCTTGGAATTCGACTGCCGAGCCGCATTGCCGGCCAACAGAAAATATGATCTTCTTGGTGACTGAAGGCCAATGTAACCATGGCCAAGAGAAAAACATGGATGCAGAGTAACAACAGGACAAAGTGCATGGAGCTTCCATCGGATTGATTTGATGCGTCCTCCGAGGCAGCCACCATCCCACGGAAAGGTGTAGCAACGGCACTGGAGGAAGCAGACAGATAACGAGAGGAAGCCGCAAGACAAACCTCAAAGGAATGAGAAACAAGGTCTTGATCAAGATCGTGTAAACGTTGGCAACACCCCAGTCTTGGTAAAGCCACCAAGGAGAATTTATAGAAGTTTTCATGACTCCGTTGGCAATCTGCTTGCACATTCAAACATAGCCTCGGTGTCGCCCTGGACGGTGGAAGCTTGGTCCATTTCACAGTGTACCGAGTATCCTTGGTGGATGAAGGCATCCATGATATAGCCATTATGTTGGCGTTTCGGCGGAACAGTAACGTCTTCGCCTTTTAGAGTCTATTCAGTTGTGTGTTCCACAATCATTGCCACATCACATTCATCCAACCTTTGGAGGCTAGGACACAATATGCAGAGAGGGAAGCTCTAAGAATGGTGTTGAAGATCCCACGCGGCATTGGACGAATCCCATGTTCGCATCATGCAGCTTGCTAGTGTATTTTGTTGGAACTGAACATGGCGTGGTGGTGTATGAGCTGAACTTGAGATCGGTGTGGGCATACACTCCGGGGAAATCTGAACAGGATACCACAGCGAGGAAGTGCTGCTTTCGGGATGGGTTGCATCAGATCTGTGATTTGGGATCTTGTTAAGCACGTAGCCATGAGAGGACACTCCATTGTCTTCATGATGGAGCCCCAATGGCTTTCCTATCCGGTCCTGGGCTTCTGCAATCTTCCGGCCCGCCAGTTTGGCTTGGAACCTTGGAGTTTGCGGTGCAATCAGATCCTCTGTCTTTGTTCAATCGCCGGTGTAGCTTTTGCGGCTCTTTAGCTTTTGCGTTTCCCATCGGAAGCTTTTTCGGTCACAATCGGGTATTGCATTTGCGGTTCAAGAGGTGAAGGAGACTAGCACTGTCAGCCTCCTTGCGGAAGCACACCCCCACCAGATCCTCACAACTGTTTGCTCAAGAGCGGCGGCCTTGTTTGGTAGATGCTGCCACCCTCTTTCCTTCGAGTCTGGTATGTCAGGCCGCCCCACAAGCTTCTTCACCTTTACTTCTTCATCGAAGTCCATTCGAGTTTCTATTACTCATTATGCCCAACAAACTTGGTTTTCGAATTGAACGTGATGTGTGAGAGCTTATCTTCCAAAGTGTGAACATCGGCAATCTTTCTTGATCAGCTCCACTTTTCTCAGCCTCTTTCCAACAAGAGGAGGATTCACACCTTGGCTTCATACAGTAGAATGAATTTTCCTCCGCATCCTTCCCAGCGCTTGCTTTTGTGACCACCTACGGTACAAACCCTCCGCTCTCCATGCGTCTTGTTGGGGCAACATCACATGATGAATGCAGCTGTTCCTGTATACTCCTGGTTCACCAAACTGCGAATTTATGTGGATGCCAATGGTGGCAAATTGTGGCGACTGAAATTCCAACGTCAAAGCCCCACACTTTGTCGTTGCCATGGATACAAAGCTTTGTCAAGGAAAAATATCCACCGTGGCCACATACATTGCGCCCCGTGGAGAAATGAAACCGGCCCGCACTCAATTGGCTCACAAATAAATAGCCTCAGGTGCAACCATACGGTACCTACATGCCTGCAATCTTCACCCCAAGAGCATGGCGGCTCCACTCTCCGGACGCAGCAAGATCATTCCTTTTGGTTTTGCCAACCTGATTTGAGGGGTAGGCCATGCTTGCTGAAAAGCCAAGATTTCTTTTGGCTTCTCAAACAAGGGCCGACTTTTTAGCTGCCACATTCTTTTTTCCCCAAGTGAACTCGATCACCAGCCAGTGAGACTTCTCCAGTGGTTGTTTGCCTCATGCTGTGCAGTAGCCAAATCTGAGCCGTAACGTCAACAACCACTCGGACAATGCTTGCTTGCAGATAAGCTTCGAATAAATTGAAGCCCTTCCTCGCAGTTGGGGCTGCTCGCTCTCAGACGGCTACGACTCTACCGCTTCTTTGAACTCTCAACTTCTCGCTCGGTTGGGTGGTTCCATTGCATGCCTTCTTCATCCCATTCGTTGTACTTCATATCCTCGTTGTCTTGCTTCCCCTACAGCGACACAGAGACATCGACATGTTGTCCTTTAGCTAAGTTGCTGCTCTCTTCAGGTAGCGATCGAGTTGCCGGATGCTGCTTCGAGCTATCACGTCCACTCACTCTCGCAAAAACCGTTGCATACTTGAGGCCCCTTCTGACCCTTCAAGCTACGGTACCGTACTGGTAGCACAAGGGAAAACAGTCAGACCTTGCTTTCCTCGCCCACATACTTGAGTGGTGCGTACACCTTCATAGCTAATCGGCAACAACTAACTCAACTCATCAATCTCTACCTTCGTGAAATCTGCTTCCTTCCATTTTCGGGAAGGAAAGAAAACTCTCGGCTCCACAGCATGCCACCAAGAGCATAATTGTCAATCTTAGCCGGCTAGTAGTCTCCGCCAAAAAAGGGAGAACTTCAACACTTTTGCTATTCTTCTGGCTCTTTGGTCTCTTCTGTGTTGCCATGTTGCCATGGCTTCAACAGCCAAAGAGCAAGTCATTCACGATCATGACGTGGAGATGTCTTTCCGGCCAAATGTGTTACAGTCTTGCCGGCGCTGGTGAGGTCAGCCATTAGGATCATCGTCGAGATCCAAAAAAATATCTTTTATTAATTAATAATAGTTTTGTGACTCCCACGCCACAAACATGTCTGCATCAGACAAAGTCGGCGTGACATACATTGTTGTTCTCGCAATCTTTTCAAAAGCTTCCGCAGTTTTGGCAAGGGCCAAGAGAAAAAGTCGTCGAGGAGAACACACAAACCCCAGAGCCACCGCACACACACTTTTTGGATTCGAGTCCTTGCATCCCACCCAAAACATCCCACACACCGTGTTTGATCCTACTAACTAACTAAGAATACGAAAAAATATGGTATTCTCACTCGAGCAAGTCTTCGCGTTCCTCGCCATTTCCTCGTCGCTACTTATTGTCCGTGTGAATGGCCAACAGGATGTCAAAGTGAATATGCAACCACTCCGCTACTGCAGCGACAGACGGTGGTGGGGTTGCCAAGCACGAGCTTATCCTTACGGTGAATACTGGGAGAACGCAGGAATGTCGAGCAATCACCAAAATGCTGCATTCATGGGGATCATGGGAGAGGAACCAGCCGCTCCACGTTATCTTGCCATCTTTTCCCATGGACAACAAGGCTTGCATGGGCAGATTGGTGATGCCACCGCCAATGTATTTTGCGGATCCGACATGGAGTGGAAATGGAACACTGACGAAAACCCCAGCCAAACGATACACTTGGATGGCAAGAGTGCGGCGGCTCAGTTCTACAATGATCAAAGCAGGTTTCTGCCCCAGAGCGACACGCTGTTCTTGACCATTTTTGACCCGCAGTTTAGCCAACAATTCTCGGAACATGAAAAGAACGAGATTCTAGATGGATACGCTTCCTTTTTGGATAGCAAGGTGTATGATTGGGCCGACATTGAAGGCGTTGTCTTTGTCGGGGCATCTCGTGGTGGCTGTTTCGTGACGAGGTTGGCGCAAAAGCTGGAAGCCAGCTATCTGCAAGATGGTGCCAAGGTTGCCCTGAGCGTTGTCGATCCAGTGTGCAAAATGGCGCAAGAAGAGTACGGAGTCACATCCGACACCATTGACAACCCGCTGAACACTGCGTACAGATCCTACACCACGGATGTGGCCGCTCAACTATCTGGCCCCAAGGAAAACTATTGCGTCCGGAATCTAGCGTTGGGAGAGGAAATATCGGGGATGTTTCTAGGGGTTCGAGGCTGGTCTCACAATACTTGCACGGAATCTACATGCTATCTGAACGACGCAAGTGACCAGCCTTACTATACTCAAGTCTGGGCCAACATGTGTCACAGCTGCGTGGGACGTCAATACGATGATGCATCACTTGATGTTACTGTGAATCCAATCCTGGACCACCTGGAAGGATGCATGGCTCGGTTTGGGTGGTAAAAGTATCTAGCTATCTACAGAATAGAGGATAGCATCGGCCCAGGATAGCCCGGGGATAGAGCAGACAAACAACAAAGGTGTTCAAGACGAACTCCCTCCAGGTACCGTAGACAACCAAATTTAACATTAAAAGAAGAACAGTACAGTAGCATCATTTCCTTGAGGGCGGGAACAGCGAAATAAGAATGTGGATGATTATTAATTGGCTAGCTATAGTACGGTACGGTTTTGGAAAGTCTACAACAGAAACCACTTTGTGATTGAAATCAAGCAGCCAAAAAAGGTCATGGTGGATATATATACTCAAGTGTCTGGTCTATTTGTGCGCGTTTGAAATGCAGGAGGAAAGGAGGAAGGATGCCAGTCATGCATTTATGTCTCATCAATCAATAGCTGTAGAGAGCTTGGAGCTGCACTTCCATGCCCAATTCGTCGAGGAAGACTCCATCCATCAAGGACTGAGACGAATTGATTCGAAGCATCATGAGATCCGATTCGTCGTCATCTTCATCTTCCGAAGAGGCTAATGACATTCCAGAACGGAGGTGACGAAACGTCACTGCCATGTTGCTCTGGTTGGCCATTTCTCGTCCTCGTTGGCATTTCTGGAGAGCTTGCTCGTATTCCACTTGTCGATCAATATACTCGTGCGTGTGACAGAGACCAAACGCCGTTGTAATGCTCAGGACGGCGTCATCTACCCATTCGCATTCATCAATGTTGTCAATGACCGTCTCGACTATGGAATTGGCTTCTGTCGTAGAGGAGGAGGAACTGTTGTCACACGAAGTGTGGGGTAGCATCTCCGCCATTTCGTCGTTGCTTTCGAGTTTCATGGTGCAAAATAATGGTGTTTCAGGTGGATCCAGTTGTATCTTATGGGATTTTCATGTATGTGACTAATGGGCTTCTAAAGTAAGTGATGAAACATGGATGTGTCGGTGACTGTAAACAATGACACTTCCGCGCTATGAAGGGTCTGGGAAAGGCCATCGGGACTTTGGCAGAATGTGAGCGGGACAAGGAACTGACGGCTGATTTCTACGTGACTTCTAAGTACGTTGACCTCATTGGCCGCTGCTGATGCTCACTTACATGAAAGCGGCTCCGGCTCATGGAAATTAAGTCACACGATTCTAATTAGCTTGGTATTTAGGTGATCTGTACTTAGACTTTCTGCTTTTCACGCCTGTGGACCATCAGGATCCAATCCAACCCACAAACTTTGTTGTCATAGGATCCATACTGCAAGTTGCGAAAAAGATGTCCTCTAGCTAGCTAGAGGTTGGGCCAGTCAATTCGCAACTTGCCGGTACCGTATACGCCGGTAATAGCAGCGACGCATGTGTGCAGGTTGCAATCATACTCGAGGGAAGCCCAAGTTCCATACCGGTAGCAGCGATGCAAGTGTGCAGTTTGGCAATCATTCTCGAGGGAAGCCCAAGTTTATGTTGAGAAGGTATTCGAATTCTCTGACTTGATCTTTTATTTATGTGATACAAAGGGGTTGGGATCTTGGTTGCTACCGTGGAATGCAACGCGACATCTCCCTCAAGGTTACCATGGCGGCAAGACAAGACGGTGCATCTTTGATGATCTATTTGAGTACCGGCAGCTACCTCGCAACAAACTGATGTAGCTGTTGGGGCAGATTATATGCGGCTCGTACGTCAAACTAGGAAAGACGAGATCTTTGTCGGGTGTTTTGTCCGTTGCTGGACTTGCTCCGACTGTAGACGGCATCCTACCGTATCAACGATCTATCCAGCTACGTAGACAGACAAGCTCTGGACTCCACTCCCCAAGGTCTGCTCTTTTGAAGCAGCAACTGATCACTTGGATACAGGACCAGCAGCCCTGTACTTGGCCTGAACAGCCCGTTTCGTCGAGTAGGGTCCCAGCAGAGATAAGTCACCACGTCCGACTGTCTGGGCACCTGGAACTGGACCAGCCACCCTCTGTTTGGCCTGAACATCCCTTTCGATCTGGGACAATTCACCACGGCCCGCAGGATGAACTCCAGGGACACCTATTGCCACCTGAAGATCTCTGCTTTGTCCAGACACCTTGTTCCAACTGCGATAAGAATCCGCCCGGCCTTATGGTGGGTTCCGTAGAGTCGAGTTGATGGGTAATTCACAATGGGATTCTGTAAAGACTCTTCCAAGCACATTGTTCTCCTTGGCTAGATTGAGGGTAGCTTCTCGGACGACTGTAGTCTTTCCTGTGAGAGTTGAATCGAATCGAATCAGTATCATTAGCAGCATGTCTCCCAAACGATGGCAATCAGTCATCCTTCACACTCCTACCGGTAGGAGCAACTTACCACTTCCAGGCTCCCCCAAGAAAAGAAAATAGACTTGTCCGATGCTAGCAACAAATCCATCAGTATATCAGCATTCCCGGTGATCCAGCGTCCGAAGCGAATTGTGACACCAGCGATTGAATTATCCTGGGCCCTCATAACAGAAAACCGGTGGAACTGGCAGTCAAGACCAGCTCGATTATCACTCCCTATTTCACCAAGGCTGTTGACAATTGATTCGACATGTTCAAGCTGGACAAGACAGTGATCATCAATCTGTTTCGATTGGGTTTCTTCGACTGATGGACGTCTTATGGCAGGAACCTTTTCAACCTCAACGTTGTCCATTTGGAAAGGCCAACTACTATCAATACTCTCTTGCTCTCCACGGCATCAACTGCGCCATCTTTGATGGCAGCAACCAGCGGTTTCTCCGTATGCCTGCTACTAGAGCCGAAGAACGATTGACGGATCGCTCACCGAAAACCCCAATTTTGACATCCCCAGCCTCCTACGAATGTTGGAACTGTAACCACAGAACCACAACAAAATATAAGGGGGGTTTAGACAGGGAAATTATCTCGGAAGCCAGCCGGGGCCAGTTTTTTCTTCTTTCTTTTTCTTAATTCCTTCGAGTCTATTGCCAGTCACCTCAGGCCTTGTAGGAATGCAGGCTGGATTAGCATGGGTGGAACACCAAAAAAGGTGTGTGTGGTTGCCCCCAAACCCCATCCAAGTCGTCTCTATGGAGACGAAATTGTAAGCTCATTCCTCCTCGCAATCGGACAACCATGGGCATACTAGTATGTCGGCGGCAACCAGGAGTTCCTTGGATTGACACGACGGCACCAATAAACACATCGTACGTACCTTTGCTGACAGTGTTTTTCAGTTTGAAACAAACGGCAAACCATGACGATCTTCATTTTGAAATTTTGATGTTGACACCTTCGGGTTTTGGTTTGGTTTCGTCTTTTTGGTTTCATTTTTTTGATTTTGAGTTTGAGTTGGTCCTTCGTTTCTTTGTTTTTGATTTCAAAAGTTACGCTGAAGTGAAATAACTCACTTTGCAAGGCAAAACACAACCCAATTTCCCTCATTCTCATCAGCAAACACTCTCTTCGTCCTCTCCAACACCACCATGATGCTCTTTCAGGTCCTCTTGCCGTTCCTTGGCCTTGCCGCTACGCCTCCCGCTGGTGTCGTCTTCCTCTGTGGATTGGTTCCCGACGATGGCTCTCTTTCCCGGTCCTCTTGCAGCCTTTCTCGGTCAAGATCTTCGCTGTCTCCTCGGCACACTCTCGCACATCATCCACAAGGTCTCTTGCTCATTGCTCTCTTCCTGTGGCGTTCCCGGTCAAGATCTACGCTCTCTCTGTCTCCTCGCCGCATGTCTGTCATCCTCTGGTGGTCCTCGTGTCCCATTCCAACAGATCTACGCTCTCTCTGTCTCCTTGGCGCATCACGGAACCGTCATACTCTCGCTCGCTACGGTAGGCCTTCTTCCGATCAAGTCAAGACCGACCTACGCTCGACCACTTGCAGCCGCTCTCCTTGTGACCGCTACGCGCCCTCCCCAAGAAATCCACGACGATGACGCTCTTCCCCAAGACGCGCACGACAATTTCACTTCTGCCCGACTCTTCCTCAAGACATCCACGACAACGACGCACTTCCCCATGATCCTGCGTCCGCTCCTTTTGACTCGCCGCGACGCCTTCTTGCGGTGGCTCCCTTCTCATGCTCTGGCGGTCTCAATCAAGATCTACGCTGTCTGTCTCCGGCTCATCCGCAAGGTCGCTCTCTTCCTGTGGCGGTCGATCCTTGCTGGTTTCACATTCAAGATTTGCGCTACACTCTCGACAGTGGTCCGTCCTTTTCTGCTCGCCTCTTGTGTCCTCCTTTGACCGACCGACCGACCGACGCTCAACCTCCCCTTGGACTCCCAAGTGCTCTTACGAATGATGGTAACCTGTGCACCTTGACTCGACACTCACACTTTCTGCTCTCTTCACAGCTAGCTGATAGTATAAATAGTTTCGTAGTTTGTGGGGGGCTGCGCTGTTGGTACTAGCTAGCTTGCCAACAGTCCTCCTCCCTCAACTTCACTCGACACAGCTCTCGACACTCACACTCCCTGCTCTTTTCACAGCTAGTATAATAGTATAAATAGTTTCGTAGTTTGTAGGGGGCTGCGCTGTTGGTACTAGCTAGCTTGCCAACAGTCCTCCCGCAATAATAGTTTCGTAGCAAGTCGGCTGTTCGCATAGCGGCGACTGCTAGCTAGCTAGCTTGTAGGTTGTGGATTAGTTTCGTAGCCCCGAATGGCGTTGGCGCAGCCAGCCATGGCCAGAAGCATCGTAATAACAGTCTACAAGTGCCAACGCCAGCGTCTCGGGCTTAGGTGGCAGTCATGACCCACATCACGAACCCTAAATAAGTCACGACCCTAAATAAGTCACGAACCCTAAATAAGTCACGAACCCTAAATAAGTCACGAACCCTAACAAGTCACGAACCCTAACCCTAACTAGGGTTATCGAACCCTAGCCAGTCACGAACCCTAAGTCACGAACCCTAAATAAGTCACGAACCCTAAATAAGTCACGAACCCTAAATAAGTCACGAACCCTAAATAAGTCACGAACCCTAAATAAGTCACGAACCCTAACCCTAACTAGGGTTACGAACCCTAGTCAGTCACGAACCCTAAGTCACGAACCCTAACCCTAACTAGGGTTACCGAACCCTAGTCAGTCACGAACCCTAAGTCACGAACCCTAACCCTAACTAGGGTTACCGAACCCTAGCCAGTCACGAACCCTAAGTCACGAACCCTAACCCTAACTAGGGTTACCGAACCCTAGCCAGTCACGAACCATAAGTCACGAACCCTAACCCTAGATCTAATTAGGGTTCGTAAATTTTTGCTCACAATTCCAATTTTCAATTTTCAATTTCTCACAATTACAACTTTTCTCGATTTCTCACAATTTCAATTATTGCTGATTTCTCACAATTTCAATTATTGCTGATTTCTCACAATTTCAACTTTTATCAATTTCTCACAATTACAACTTTTATCGATTTCTCACAATTACAACTTTTATCGATTTCTCACAATTACAACTTTTGTTGATTTCTCACAATTTGAATTATTGACATTTTCTCACAATTACAATTTTTCGAATTTGTTTTCTCACAATTACATCTTTGCTGATTTCTCACAATTACAATTTTCAATTTTCAAATCTGATTTCTCACAATTCAAATTTTCGAATCTTTTTAGCCACAAAAGCCACTTCCACCAAGATGAGGGCAACCAAGCGGCCTCTTCCCTATTGAAACCACTATTACAGCACTAGTAGAACGGTCTCCAAAATGGTCTCGAAGCAGGGGTAGAAGTAGAGAGCTGTGAAGGGCTGAAATAAGGCCGCTGTTTGGCTGCTGTTATCTCGCCACTCCACGGTGAGAGAAGCCTCCACATGTTTCTTCGAGCATCGGACGGCAATGGGATGCCAGCATTACTGGTACAGAAAATCATGCTCTTGTGGAAGCAGATGATTCGATTCACGTACCATGTCATTGCATCTCACGGTGCCCCGATTCGATTCGGTTCTTCGCAATGATCCGCAGCATAGGCTCCAGTACTCAATCAAAGCACTCAGTTTGCACTGTGGAGTCTGGTGGAGGAGCGGGTGGATTTGCATCAAGCCGTCCCAGCCATAGCAACCGGCTCGAGGCAATCCCCTAGCTGGCGAGCACTGACGCATTCTTGGAGGTCGCAACGCTTCTCACTGACGCTGGAGAAGTTTGAAGGCATCAAGAAATTCGTCAGTTTTGTGCGACTGGTTCAGGTCGTTCAATCACATCCAAATCATCTTCTGCTTCTCCACGTTAAAAGTCCGCGGTTCTGACCCAGCCGATGCCTCTCACGAGTCCTCTTCAAAGAGGGACTGTGCTCCAAAAGCCGTCCTGATATTCGGTAGCTTGCCAGGTGCTTCGGGCTTTCGACCCGAATGATTGATGGACAAGGCCGTGGCTAGAGTGCTGATTCCGTACGATGTAATTCCCAACCCAATAAGGCTTCGTTTCAACGGCAGTATCGAATCGACAGCGGACGTGTAAGCAAGAGTTGAAAGGTGTCATTGGTCTCTTGTGTGGCAACCAAGAGCTCGGACGATGTGGAACCTGAGGCAAAAGGAAAAGGTTTTGAGGTTGGAAATTTTTGTACTACTCAGCAACAGGAATCGAAGCAATCACCCCAACTTACCGTACTGCATATGAACAGGGCAAATGATATCTGCCACTCAAGCATTCTTCAGTGGTTCCTTTTCGGCAGCATCGGACAACAGATTTGCAACGCCACTGACGCATTCTTGGAGGGGGTATTTTCTGCGACATTTCTTGTCTTTTGGCACAACAATGACAGCACCAACTTTGTGTGTCTTGCTAGCATCTCCCTGGAAGACAAGCAACTGGGCGTTGTGGTGGACATGCATGAAGCAACTCCCGAGACAAGATGCCCATCAAAGGCATGCTCGCATTCAGTAGACCAGACAAAATGTTTTGTTGCAAGGTTGTACAATGGAGTTAGGAAATGATGACACTGAGGGAACATGTCTCAGATCCAAGGAAGTGACAAACTCTTGAAGCATCTTCTGGTGTCTCAAGCTGGAGGATTGCATCAATCTGTTCCTTCCTTGGTCTGATGCTACCAGTAGTACGTGCCAACCAACACCCAAGAAAGGTGGTCCCTTGGATCCCCCACCCAGGGCACATGCTTTCAGAACAACACTTAGCTTTTTCCCCACTGACCTGCAGCGATCGGAAAAAGACAATCTGGCTAGCTGGCCATATAATAATAATAAACATAATAGAAGGCTATCGATAATGGGCTTTACTGGCTAGTACATGTACTAGTAGGGCAACCGTGGCACGATAGTAGCCTTTAGAAGTTGTCCCCGTGACTTCGAAAACGTGACACGTGAGGGTACTGCCGGATCTCGTGTTTTTTAAATTGCTCCCCGCTGATTCGATTCAATTCCAGCTTTTGCAAACCAACAAGAGGAACCCGTCATGGTTGAGCCTTCTTCAAAAGGAGTAGCAGCTGTAAAGAGGAGAGGTATCATCATCTTGATAGAGCAAGGCATCGAAAGAATGAGACAAATACTAAGCTTCTTCTTCGCCCAGGCTATAGTTCTTCCTGGATATGAGATGCACTGCTTTTTCCTGGTTGCTGTTGAAGCAAGCTCTTTATTCTTCTTTATTCCGCTCACAAGACCATCCGTAGTGGCAAGAAAGCCAAGAAGTACGGGTAATAACTTACGCACCACAACTCAGATTTCCAGGTGAACCTACGAGCAGATCCTCATTCTAATATAGTTACTAAAGGATGGTGGATCTTATTGTTGTCCCCATTGCTGGTAATGGTGTGGTTGATCTGGTTTTGTGCCAATTGGAGTTGGTGGTAATAACCCTCTAACAACTCCTTGCCAGCCTTGCTAGCCCAGGCCTAAGCAGCGCCGTGTTGTACAGGGTTGGATGCCCAAGAAGCCTTTTGACCAGCGCACATTTCACTCTGGACCCTCGTTCTTGGCTTGCTCGGGGTCGATCATGCTGAGTCAGCTTCGTCTCCAGCCATTGGCCTCTCCAACCATTGGCAGCTGGACGGCACGACAGTGCGTGAGACGCGGCACAAATATTCAGTTGGTGGCGGTGCAAATTGTAGGTACGAGTACCACTGTGTAACGATTGCAGTTGGACAAGTTCTTGCTTGGATCCAAAGTGCCACAGCATGGATGTCATAGACAGCAGGATATTCCTCTTCAGCGGCACCATCCAAGCAACAGAGTTGTCGAACGAGCCGAGAATGAAAGTCAGCCAAAACGACAAGCAAGAAACCAAGTATCGCAACGAGCCGAGAACAAGCAAGCCACATCGTATCCTGCCTTCCAACGCGTCATCGAGACATCATCATCACCATCATCGAGACTCGAGCTTCAGAGGACATCGAGGCAAGACATGATTGCAATTCATCAAAGTCAAAATGAATGATCCTCTGGTGAGCATTGAAAGTCAAAGCATTGCGGGGTGCGTACAAGCTTTTAAGTAAGACCAATTTTGTATTACACAGCAACAGGAATCAATCATCCAAACCTACCGTGCTGCATGTGAACCGGGCAATTGAAATGCCCCGTGTATTTGCCACTCCCACATTTTTCAGGGGTTCATCCACAGTGTCATGCACAAACACCAACTTGGGTCCTTTTCGGCAGCATCGGCTGTACCGGTACCTAGCAGCTGCCTGCAGCATCGGACAACAGATTTGATTCCGAAGAAAGAAATCATGGGCATGCTGCAATGATGAGAGCAAGTGAGTGTCTAAGAGAGAGAGAGAGAGATGCCACTCAGTCGCTGTATGATATTACTGACTTGATCCATTCATTGCAGGATCTTTTGGACACGAGAAACACAAATTGCTAATGTCCTTGCCGGCCCAAAGCAGCGCCGTGTTCTTCAGGGGTGGATGCCAAAGTAACGACGTCTTTTTGACCAGGGGAAGGATGCCAACTGCACGTCGAATTTCTTGCCAGTGTCGATGTAGTAATGTGCCGTCTATTCACAATCAGTTGCTATCATGGCCAGCGGCGGAAGAGTAGGTGTAGATTCGATTCGATTCCTTCGCCAGGGACTTCTCAAGAAGGAGCAACATTGTTCTTTCTTCCCAGCTAGGCAGCTCTCGGGTCAAAAATAATGTGAAGGAGACGACGTCTTCTCTCGCACAGTGAGGCTTCGTGAAAGCTGAAAGCTTGCGGAATGGAAGCACTCTGCACCACAAGCGCCATTAGAATCGTATACTATGAGGGTAGCAGTAGCTTGGGAATTCAGGCAAGGTGTTGGACCTCCGTGCACAAGCAACAGACCCAGAACGGTGAGTGGCAGGCCTACAATGCATACGTGTAGTTAACAACAAGAGGAGAGTAGACATACCTCCATGCAGTGGCAACTCTTTCTTTCTGCGCCTCGATAGCTTGATCAACAATGAACGAGCATTGGAAGAGCATACCGTAGCAGTCATCGGAGAAGACAAATCCATGAGAGGATGCCAGAGATAGATATTGTACAGAAAATCCATGAACCGACACAAAGTCTTGTCCAATTCGATTCGATTCACGTACCATGCCATTGCGTTGCCCTGATTCAATTCAATTCAATTCGATGAGGAGGCAAGTGCGGAGAAAATAATGAGAGGATGCCAGAGATAGATACAGAAAATCCATGAACCGACGCAAGCTCTAGTCGAATTCGATTTGATTCACGTACCATGTCATTGCATCTCACGTCCGGATTCGAAACGATTGATTCTGCAACGGTACGGTACTAGTAGTTTGTCAATCCATCCATCCATCAATCGTCGTCTCGAAGGGTTCCTCTGTACGCTTGTTGACAGACCCTCCAGACGCGTTGATGTGCTTGTTGGACGGCATCAAAGGACGGTTCCATGGAAGGTGGAATCCAATTGGGAGGCACCGGTTGGGGTGGTTTGTACGTTTGATTCCAAAACGAAGAAAACTCTCTGTCGGATGGGTAGCCCCACAACTGACCAAGTTGTTGTTGTTGGTTGTTGTTGTTGTTGTTGTTATCGTTGTGAAACAATTCAAAACATCCCCACGTGCGAGATGCAAAGGCTCGCAATTGCGATTCCACAATGTGATACATGGACTTGTACAAATGGAGCGATTCCGCCAAACTGCCACTGCCGAGTTGACGATTCCGCGTGGTCGAATACAATAGGGCGGAGGGAGATCGATCCAAATAGACATGTCCACAATCGACTTGCGCGAGATCACACGCCCGATAGAGCAATTCCAAAGAAGGATAATTGAGTTTGCGACAATTGCCGTAGAAATTGGGATAGGACATCATGCCCACGCCCCGTTGATCAAATGCCGTGTTGAGGGGGACGTGAATGACACTTGTTGCTGTGGATTTTTGTTGTTGAGTGTACTGTTGTTCCATGGCTGCTAGTTGTTGCACGACAGTGTCTTGGAGTGTGGCCATATTGATCGTAGTGGCATTCCGCAACGCACAATGAGCATTCCAGAGTCCTTGTGTGGGATGGAAATGATCAAAGAGCGATTTCTGGAGGATGCGCAATTCCCGAATCAATCCCAATTCCTTCAGTGTTGTCATCAGGGGAGGAGCGTGCTTGGCGATTTGTCCCATGAAATGATGGCCCGTTCCTTCCAGTCCTACGACCATGACAAATCGGAGGCGACTGTGGAATCGTGATGGAGTAGTAGCATGATGATGATGATGGTTGGTGGTGTCCGTTGTTGTAGTGCATGGTTGTGCGGGAGAGAATTGCAAGAGGAGTCTGCTGATGATGCTCACGTAGCCGACGACGCCGCAGAAAAGACCAATCAAGAACAGAAACACACCCTTCATTCAGTTCAGTCATTGAGAGGAGCCTTTTGCTAAGCTGTTGATCTCTGTATGATACATAGACTACATGTACTACGGATGATAGCTAATAGCCAGTGCGGTCTATTGATGAGATGTTGCTTCTGTGGCTTTTGTTGCGCAATTGCGTTTGCCATGGTCTTCCGCTATTAGGGTTAGCGCTTGACGTGTCACACGAAAGATCGTCTCATCGTCTCAAGCCTCACCATGGCGAGCGCGATCCATCAGTGCCACTAATCCATCTCCTCGACACCACAGCAAGCTCATCGTCTTGGGCAAAGCACTCTTACCATGAGGAGGAGATGGCCTACAGTTGTTTGGGTTGCTGGTGGTGTGCTTGGGTGGTTGGTGCTCCTGACGAAAAAAGTTTCTGCATTGCGGATGCTGCCCATGGCATTCAAGCCAATGCCGCTCACTTTGTCACAACATACTAGTAGTAATCACTGGAGTTTGTCTGCTTTTTCTTCTTCCAGACAAAGGTCTACTACTACTTGTTGTTGCTTCTCCAGCCACACGTCAAGCACGTCAAACATGACCCATGTAGCCAAGCATCCAACGACAAGAAGAAACTGGTTGGTTCACTCCACTCTATCCGTTGTGGCTCTGGGGAATCCAGCTCCTGGACACGGCAGCATCACTATTGTAGCAGACCAACCACTCACGACGACGACAAGCATTCCCCCCGAATGCCAAAATGGAGCACTTGTTGCCGGTAAGCAAAGCAAAACAAAGCAATCATTGATGGATTGGACTTTTTTGTTGTTTCACCCAAAAACTCAATTCCTTCCTTCCAATGACAATGTATTTTTTCTTTCCATACTAGAATCGGCCATTCCCGGTGCCTACGATCAAATCTGCATGAACCTTCCTGTCCGGACCATTCCCATTTCCTCTCAAGTCAAATTACAAATTCAACAAGAGGGTGTCGGACCCGGCAAAACCGGATTGGCCGTTTGGAATTCCGCACTACTATTGGCACGGCTCTTGACCCAAATTACAAAGGTCAATCCAACATGGCTCCATCAACAACGCGTCGCCGAACTGGGATGTGGTGCCGGATTGGTCAGTCTTTTATTGGCGCAACAGGCGGGCGCTCGATCCGTGTGGGCGACCGATGGGAATCCCGATGCCGTGGCATTGACTCGTACCAATTTTGAACGCAATGGAATAGCCTACAGAACAACAACAACAACTAGCGACAATCAAAATGTCGTGACACAACTCAAATGGGGAGAATTGGAAGTTCCCGTGGAATGGATGGGACAAGTGGATGTCCTGGTAGGATCCGATTTGACATACAATAGTGGATCCTGGAGACTCCTCGCGGAAACCATGGAATCCCTGTTGGCACCCAATGGCATTTGCATTTATCTCAGTTTGGGACATGCCGGATTCAATGTCGCAGGAGAAGTCGATGGATTTGTCAATGTGGCACAGCAAGTGGGACTCTTTTCCAAGTCAAAATTGCCACTACCCGGATCATCGTTGGATGCCTTGTTGGCAAGTGTCATTCGCAAGGATTCCTCGGAACCATCCATCATGATGGCCACGGGAGGAGCACAAGTGGTGGTGTTGGGGAGGAAAAACAGAATATAGCTCTGGTCAGCCAGTCAGTCATGACAAACAGACAAGCGGGCCATGGAGCATTTGGAGTGAACGTGGCGGGTTGAGTGCGTATTGGTTTCTCTCTGCAAACTTTGTTTGGGTGTATATCATGAGACCGTCAAAGCCTTCCCGCCAAACGATTTTTTGGCGTTGCCTTTGGGGAAAGCTATGAAAGTCACGCAGCAAGAATCTACTGGCCAAAGACGTAACTACCCAATATGGCGCCATGGCAACGATTCGATTCGATTCTCTCATAGCTGGATTCATTGGTTGGATATCTCTGAACAACACGCATTACAGCCACAGCCTCACAGTTGATTGGATGGATGGTCAAGAGCATTTGGAATGCTTTAGATTTGGGTGGTGCATAAAACTATCTCATCACAAATCGAATCAAGCAGAGCCAACAACCCCACGCAAGCCCGTACGTCGGTACGGTACAGTTTGCGAACCACTCAAGCGGTACGCCGATGCAGTTTGCCTGCTGCTAGAAAGCAGTCACATCTCATAACATTTGACAACACCAAGGTTCTGGTAGCCCAAGTCATTGCGACAACACAGGCACCGCAGTCTGGAATGCGAGCTAGCTGGGAGAAGAACGATGTCACGGGTGCAGCAGGAAACAATGAAGGCATGATTCGATTCCTTTCAAGCCTTCCTTACGACCAAAGTACGCATGATTTCATTTCATGTGCAAGCAAGGCTGGTTGGCACGCCGTAGTTTGTGGTGGGGGCGACCAAATGAAGTGGTCGGGACCGAATGACAACCAGAGCCGAATGGCGTCCGACATTCTGGACGACGGGGAAGATCCTCCTGATGCTCTCGTGGTATCTATGCCATCGCTAGTTTCCATGATGGAATACGAGCGACCTTGGCAGTTTCAATACCCGTCTTTGGCATGAACAGTGGCTACGATGATGGAACACACGACAAATCCATCACAATTCCGGCCTCATCCATGCTGCCACGCCGATGATTGACAAGTCATTGGGTGACAAATCTTCGACGCTGAAGATCGAACTAATCAACAAGAACAACAATGACGTCGAGCTCACTACAGGTTGTTGCGGTGGGTGGTGGAAGTCGTTGGATTTCTGGGAACGGGACGTCGAGCTCAGACGGCGCATGGCATTGCGGTGGGTGGGTGGGGCATTCTTCGTGTCCTTCCTTCTGCCCCTCGCCGCTTTGACAGCCGACGTAGTCCTGAATATCATCGCCTTCGTGGTAGTTATGGTATTGCGAGCAAGAATCGTCGTCGACGAGATTTGGCAGACTCTGTGGAGCGCAGTTCTGCAGTCGAGAACTCTCCCTGCTGACATTCAAGAATATATTGATTCCGACCTTATCCACGTTGGTGCGTCACTACTACTTCAACGAAACTCGTTGTCTCAGCAACAACAGACGATGGTCGCCAGAGTAAGAAACCACGAAAGCCTACGACAAGCCTTCCCCTGAGAGCCCAATTGTGAAGCATAGTCCTATTACTCCAACGATGCACATCACGGACTCCGCAACATTTTCCGACATCCACAACAAGTCACCTTTGGCCAACCACAACGGGCAACACGATAAACCGTTCTCGCACGTGGCCATGGGGCAATTGAGCCCACCACCCGTTCAGAACAGTTTGCGTCCTGGCTACTGGAAGTCACTCATTATGAACATTTGCCAACACCTTCTCCGATGGTTCTTGTAGCTCATGTCATTGCGACAGTACATGCACATGCACCGCAGTTTGGAATGCTCCCAGCCAGCTGGGAGAAGAACGATGACACGGGTGCAACAGGAAACAATGAAGGCATTATACCCTTCCAGCCTTCCTTACGATCAACCATTTATAAGAAGTATGCATGCTTTCATGTCATGTTCAAAGTGGGTTGGTACCGTACGTTGAAGTGGGGCCGAATGATTCGATTCACTACAGCGGAATGGCGTCCGACATCCTAGACTACGGGGGAAGATCCTCCTGACGCTCTCATTGTATCTAGTCTTTCGCCAGTGGTCCATTATGGAATAGGAGCGGCCTTTGCAGCTGGACAACCCGTCTTTGGCACGACCCGTGGCTACAATGACACATGACCATCACTCGCAATGACGACAATTCCGGCCATATGCTGCCGCGCCGATGAACGACAAGCCATTTAGACGACGCTTAATATCGGACGGAAACCTCCTCTCTCCTCATTCCAACATAATCAATCAACAAGAACAACAATGATGGCGAGCTCACTACAACAGTCAAGATTTTTGAAATTCAGACCTCATCCACATAGGTGCCGCTCCTCCCCCTTCAATGTTCTGACGGTAGCAGAACAACAACTACCTTCTCCGAAGAGCCCAATTTTGAAGCATGCGAGCCACTTTGGGCCGTTGTTTCGGACGATGCCTCAACGGAACCCATCTCAGTATTCAACAATGTCTACACGAAACCAGCTTAGTTCTTCGACAACAATATGCAAAAGCCCAACTATGCACTCGTCACGACGACGTCTCTCCGCGGGCCTCCCCTTATTTTTTTAACATCACGGGCAGGCAGTGGAGTGGTACGCTCAGATCTCGCTTGTCGTCGATGTGTTTGGTTCATGCATGTCATCCACTGCAGAGTTTGTCAACACATTTGAAGACGCTGTACGAACAAGGGGAGCTTCTGACAAGCCCTATCCGACAGAACCATTCCCACAAACAGCTGCAGCATTTCCTGCGCCAAAGTCACTCTTCCGGCCAAGTCTGACGCCTACGCGGGTATACGATTTCCGATCCTGTCAACAACAATACTGGCCTCATCCATGCCAATGCTCTCTTCATAGTGGGGATTGGTCCTCAGTTTCTTGCCCCTGATCCCACTGAAGCCTAGGCCTGAATTTGGACTCTTCTTTGTTTAGCCTGGCCCTTGCTGGCTTTCCTAGCTAGATAATCCACCTGCTCTAAACTCCTCGTGCATTACTCCAACAATGGACATCTCAAGGACTCCTCATCATTTTCGACATCTACAAGTCACCGTTGACCAACCAGCAACACAACAAACCGTTCTCGCATAGCTCCAGCAACGTCTCTTTGGTCCATACAACAACAAATGGCCACTCGTTGACCCCTCGGAGGAGCCACCATTATTCGTCAACGTTGCCTGCAACATGTCCGAATACGACTCCACAAAAATTAATCTCTCGAGCCCTCACCGACAACGTGCAAGGGCCCAATTTTGATGGAAACGACCGCGGAAAGACGACAATCGTCTCCATTGAGCTCGTCATCTTTGGCTCCGCCAATGACATGCTGATCACCGACTGCAACAAGGAGCCACCTTTGGTTCCCGCCGACGCCTACAGCGGAAACGACTATTGAAGATGCCCTTTGCAAGAGCACCGCCACGCTTGAAGCACATTTGATCGCATAGCATGCAAAGGCCCACTTTCCGTGGCATTTGCCACGGTTTGCCACGGAAAGCTGACATTCGTGTTCTCCACGGAGCTCATCTTGCCGAGCTTGTTGTCGGGGGAGACCTGGATTGGAGCACCCTTGGAGTTTCTAGCCAAACAAAACCGATGGAGTATCAATTTGCACCCAAAGAGATTGGAAGCGCTGGGATTATCTAGGCAGCACATCAGTCTGGTGGAAGTGCACTGGGAGCACCAAGGTGGCACCAGTGGAATCTTTGGTCACGGTTGTGTGTCTCTGTACGTATGGGACAGGTCGAGCCTTTCCTTCCCATTGTGGTCGAGGCGGCCCCACAGCGGAGACTGGGGATAGATCAGGAAGAGATGGACCAGCAAGACTCCACTGATGACACACCGGGGTTGATGCCAAGGGAGAGTCAGACGACGAAGGGTTGTGATGAGTAGTGCGACGATGACTTGGAAGACGAGAGGAAGATGAGGCTCGAGAGCGGTAAGGCAGAACGAAGAAGAGCCTGACGCGGAAGCAACTGCGAGAAGGGCGTGAAAGAATAAGGTGGTCAAGGCTGAAAAAACAGAACACCGACTTACCTTTGGAAGGAATGGACGATGGACTGAAGCAGATCGAGAGTCGTGATGCATGGGGCCGGACGGCTATGGGTTTCACATCGAATCCTTACCAGGCCTGTCAGGGTACCGGTATGATGGTGCTCGACGAGGTGGTTGGCGGAGACAGGTACGACCCTAGCAAACATCTTTTGCTGGCACCGTGTTCGCCTCAACTTACCCGGCATCACTGCGTATGATCAGACGCTGCCTTGGGTGTCCAAGGAGGAGCCATCCTTTGGAAAAGCTTGAGCAGTTTCGGCAAGGTCCAGGACGCAGGAGGCCCGTCAAGCCTGGCTTTGAAGTACTAGTAGTTTGCGCGAACTACGTGGTCCAGCTTTGGTCGCTGCGGGGGAGATTGGTGTGCAGGATGCTACAAGATGGAGTTAGAGGATAGGTTAAGATCCAGGCAGTTGTTGGATGACAAGAGATTGAGTTTGGCCTGGAACGAGGTGAACATGTACATGCAAGCTTGGGACGGAGATCCCCTGATGCTCAGTTGCCGGTGTGAGCTGTGCCATTTCTCTGCCGGCTAAACACCACAAAAGACATCCTTCCAAGACATGGAATGAAGAGTTTCTGGAAAAGGGCACAAAAGAACAAGGGAGCATCCCTGAAAGGCTGACAGACTGGGACCCCTCCCAGCCAGCCAATGAGCCACCATGGAGATCATTCCCAATATTAGCGCCACGCCCAGCTCACCTGGCAACATTGGCGCATCACCAACTAGGCGACTCAGAGACAGGTTCTGGGTATCCCTCTGTCGGTGCCTTCGCCGCTTTCCCGACTTCCAGGAGCTGAGTCAGCCCATCCCGATTTCTTTGGGGTTCGCTTCCATGTCAACTTCTTCCGAGTTGCCTTCTCGGACCTGTGGCGTTCTCAGACCTGTCTGACTGTGGCGTTCTCAGACCTGTGGCGGGCTTCGGACCGTGTCCCTCAGCTGTAGCCCAGAGCTTTTCTCTCATTCATCGGCAATCCAAACAAAAAGCCATTCCAAGGCGGCGCTACAATTCGAATAGACTCTAATAAACATGCAGAAACGAGGCTTGAAAGCGGCCATGTTCATGGGATCCGCTCTTGCAATTTCGTCAGCCAAAGCTGATGGCAAAGAGATTGAGATAGTCTCTCGGGAAGTCACCTCAGGTCTTCAAAATGGCCCATTTAGTGTCTTCACAAGTGGCACCAGTTATCCAACCATTACCATGGAATGCAGAAGTCAGGATGGCTCAACATCCGCAGTCGCAGATCTAGAGATAAGAGCCGTGCCTACAGAGGATGACCTGCCAACAGAGATTGGTTCCTTTGGGGTTTGCAACTCTGGTGGCGAGTGGGAATGGGGGGCACAACCCCTTTGTGTACAGGTGGAAAGAGTATCCCTTTGTGGTAACTCCAAGGGTGTTTTCTGTTCAGGCATTGACTCTTTTGGCAGTGTTGGTGTACGGAATATCATGGTTCCAGATGGAGATTCTGTGACAGTTTCCCTGATGGGGACAGCCACAGTCAGTTTGAACTATGACAGCTATTGCCATACAGCAGTTGGAAATGGTGTGTCTGTAAAATCATCAATCAATGAATTAGATGCCATCTACCCAAGATACACTGAACCAGCCTGGACAGTTACGCTTGCAGATGTTGGAATGGAACTCCCGGAATGCAACACCTGCATAGATGACTGTGAACCGGGTGGGTCTGAATTTGACACTTGTGCTGCCGCCAAGGGGACGGACGTCACCCTATACCCAGAAGAGACACACAATACTACTCTTCCCAGCAACTCTTCCAACACAACTGTCCTTGAACATACCAAAACTATTGACATTATTTCACAAGATGTGATCTCCTCTCTTCAAAACGGTCCCTTCAGTGTCATCACAAGCGGTTCAACATACCCCTCCATCAGCATGGAGTGTCGGAGCATGGATGGTTCCATCTCTACCCCATTGGCAAATATTCAAATGATCGGTCCGGTTCCCACTGAATATGACATTCCCATGGATCTTCGGCTGTATTGGCCCTTTGGAGTTTGCAACAATCGTGGAGATTGGGAATGGGGGGCACAACCAATCTGTGTGCAGGTAGAAAGAGTATCCCTGTGTGGTGGCTCTAAGGGGGTGTTCTGTCCTGGAATTGACTCTTTTGAGGGTGTTGGCATCAGAAATATCACTGTCCCTGAAGGAGACTCAGTCACCATCGCCCTTATGGGAACAGCAACAATAAATACAAACTATGACAGCTACTGTCACACAGCTGATGAAGGCACTGTATCTGTGGAGTCCAAGAGTGATGAGTTAAGTGTGGTCTACAGAAGATATGAAGAGCCTTCCTGGTCTATTACATTGGCTGGTGTTGGGGATGTACTACCAGGGTGTTCCACTTGCGAGGACGGATGCAACAATGGAGAGTCCCAATTTGACACATGTGGATCTGAGGGTGGTAGTGGCAATGTCTCCCGCGGCGACTTGCCGTAACCTCTCTCCGTCTCAGCGACAACTTTTGAAAGCAACTAATTTGCCGAGTAAGCCTTGCGCTGCCCTTGTAGAAGAGGAGGATCTAGCACTGGCATTGAAATGCCGTGAATACCTAACGTTTAAAATAATCTCGTGGCTGTAACTGTGAAGAACAGGACTTCGCCCTGGCGACAACTGCAATGCAATTTGCGTACGGTAGATCGATCAGACTGCGAGTCTTTAGTATGCAATTGCGTACACGAGAAAAGACATTCGGCTGTTTGGCATAGAGCACGGAGAGCCGCTAAATCGTGATCTTATGTCCCACAATCGACAGCTGCAGCTAGCTAGGTACGGAACGACATCCTCATTATGGGCAGGTGTTTGGTAATCTTTGTTCCTCTCTACAGGGCCCTGTACGTCTTTGAGCAAATGGTGTTTGGCCATGGGTCCCTAACTTGTACGTTATTTTGGAACGATCGTACCCATGCACCGAACCTCTTTGGATTGCGTAAATGTAGATGGAGAATTTGAAGAGCCAGGAATCCTATCAATGGCAACAAGAACCTGTGCTACTCTGGTGAGACCGAGTATTAGCAGTCTAGACTTACAGCAGCCACAGAGCTGCCAACTCATGAAGCAGACTTTTTCATGTATGTAGTACTTATTCTGTGAGCTTTCAAGTTGTATCTACGCCAAGCACGGGTCCTTTGCCTTCACGGTCCTGGTCAGCTTCCCCTGCAACTGTGTCTCGCAAATCCACAACGTGAATCATGGATGTGCTTTGGATGCCAACGTAATAGTAACCGGTAGTTCTGGCATAAGCAAGAGCTGTAATGATGCCATCATCATTGGGGCCCAGAGCAATCTCCTTCAGATCCCATTCCTTCGTCGCCTTGCCACTGCTCAAGTCCATCTCGTAGATGTGGTTGTTTCTGTCTGCAATGACGAGAGAAGTGACACACCGATCTGGGCCACAAGTCAATCGACTTGGGTCGACATCATCTCGGCCCAGAATATCTTTGTTGGAACCATCCAGCGGCCAACGAGCCACTCTAGAGGAAGTTGCCATGTCCATCTTGACCAGGGACTTGCTTGTATGGCTGGGGGTCGCCGCGTCGTCACCAGAATGAACGCTCTGGACACCAAAGAAGGACTTGTCCATTACCACAATACCACTGCCGTGAAAGTGCCCATCATCGTTGGAACTTTTTTCATTGGCATTGGTGGCTGTAACAAAGCTCCACTGACGATTGCCAAAGGGAGTCCAAGTGACCTCGGAATGGGAACAAGTGCCCGAATCACAACCGCAAGGATCCGTCCAATCGACTTGATAGACACTAGCTCCCAAACGAGTTTCCCCGGCCCAAATGGGACCTTGCGAGTCGACAATGTAAGCCTGTGTGTCATTGTGGGAGATGTAAAAACCATCGACGCCAGTCACTCCTGCGGCTCGAGGAATTGTAATGAGACACTGCTGTTGACCTTCCGTTGTGAAAACATAGAGATGATGATCACCCGTGGCGTTTCTTGGAGAGCCACTCAAGATGTAAAGCAAGTTAGAGCCGCCGTCATCAAAATACAAACCACTCGGAGCTCGAGGCACGGCAAAGGATGAAACCTTCACAACGGTGGAGGGATTTTGCAAAGCTCGTCCCAACCTGACTATCAGAAGGATGCAACACAAAAGGAGCCGTGACATCATTTTCTTCTTGTGCACTTGAGGAGATCAATACGGTACGGATGGAGATGCAGATGCAGGGCTTCTTCTTTCTCGAGGAGACAAAGTTGTACAGCTAAAACGAGCACAGAAGCCCGTTCGGTGACAAGCAATCGTGTCAAAATTTAGAATGATTTTGTGTTCAGGGGATGCTCCTCCCGCGACGGCATAAATATATTTTTTGGCTCGGAAAGCCTGGAACGCAAGGGATCAAGCAAGATACACGAGCAAGTTCTTGTGGTTGGCTTCCGTCCTTCCGTTCGACATGCAATGATGTACAAGTAACGCAGCTAAGAATCCTACGGTGCCAGCTACCGGTAGCCAATAGATAGCATAGCAACAGCAGACGAAACTTAGTCCATCCTGTCCGAGACAACATCAGGAGACGAGACGGGAACGTGGTCAATCTGGGAACAAAGCAAATTTTCTGTCTACTTCAGCACCTGCAACACATACCGGTACATAGTGTTGCTGCAGAGTGGAAAACGGTTCCACTGTCTGCTTTCCTGGACTGAACTTTGGCCGCTTCCATGCAGTTGTTCGATTACGAAGGAATCGCACCAGAGAAATGTTTCTGGAACAGTTCCGGTACATGTATTTGGTACCGGTACGGTAGCGTGGCGTGGATTTCTACAAACAGTATCCATGACTGAAAGATCCAAGCTCTTGGTGGGAGCACCGCGGGACCTGCACTCCCCGCAAGAAAGGTGCGCACAATGATGGAAAAAATTGTGAAGTTGCTGTTGAGCTCATTTACTCGGAAGGCTGAGCAGCGCAGCAGCAACTCAACTCTCATTTCTACAAAGGATCATCCCATTGAGTTTCAATTTCTAGTGCTGGCTGCGAAGCTTGAAAGATGGATCTCAATTTCACTGAGAGCGCAAAGGATCTCTACGACCAAGTTGAGTTCAAGACGGACTCCATCTACAACTGGCCTCCACCCGATCCGTTCATCACCTTTTCCATTGGCGGCGCCTTTTCGCTGCTAGCATTTGTCCTATGGGTTCGCCGAGTACGAGTGCTTTATCAGAACTTGAAAGTCAAAGACTATTCCAAAGGAACCATACGACTGCGATGCTGGCTCACAGCTTACATTGAAAATGATTGCGCTCTTTTCACCTGCGTCCGCATGGCGGCGCAATCATTCCTCTTTTTGGCTGGCATTCAATTGAACTATACAGGAGCCTTCTTTGGTATTCTGGGAGTCTTTACCGTGGAAAGCTTTTGCGATCCCTTGCGAGTGCTGCTGTGCTTTCGAGAAGCCGTTTTCATTGATGATCTCGTCGTGACAAGCAAGTTTCTTCGAGCGGATCTTCGAAAGCACCCACTCACAACCACCCTGCAGCCGCACAATGTCTACGAAGACTTGACTCGCGATTCCTTCATTGTCGGCATGGTCTTTGCCACACAAGTCCTCCTCATTGGATTTGTGGTAAGAACGATCGATTTGCTCTTCAAGCCTTGTTGCGTTCGTTCACCAACGAATGGACACGGTCTCACCATCTTGTTTTCCTTGTATAGCTTATAGATTTGTTTTCTACACACACACACTATTGCTTGGATGGCTCTTCTGGATGTCCCGTGGGTGGTACACTGGGCTCGTGGGCATTTTATGTCCTTGGAATATTCCAGGCTTGCGTGTTTCTGCTGGGCCCAAAGTCAAATTTTGGGCAAAGCGAACAGAACGCTGCCTATTGGATTCAATTGCTCCTCACCACCAAGCAATCACCCACCTACACATGGTATGATACGATCGATGCGGAAACCAAGTTCTTGAAGGTGAAATCATCCGAATGGAAGCATTGGATTCGATTCTACATGAGCTTTCTGATCAACGGGGTGGGCTTCCACATTTTGGTTCACGCCTTGCCCATTCAAATAGCGAGTCAGAGCAGTTTGGTTGGGGTTGTGTTTCGTGCCGTGGGAATGATTTACCTGGTCAATCTGGATGATTCGAAGGGTTATGTCATGGCGATTGTGCCAGATGACGACGATCTGCAGTCTGCAACATTGCAAGATGAAGTCACAGATGACTTGGACGACGCGAGTGTGGGATCGGTCGGATCTGTTGCATCTTTTTATCGTTTCTTCTCTGGCAACCACAATGGCGACAACGACGTCAGTGTGCCCGTGCAAGCGCAAAAGATCATTGCCAAAGCTCAAGCAAAGCTGGATGCCTTGCAATCCAAGGCGAGGCCGCGGAGGAGAAGACGACGACAACATTCCAACAAGAGCAAGTCATCCGCGTCTTCAAGAGGACAAGTTTAGTTGGCTTTGACACTCGCGCATTTCCAGTTGGCAGCCTCTTCCTTTTCAAGTTTTATCAGCTCTGTAGCAGCGAGATGCATCCAAGTCGGATGCCCACGCTAGCATTACATGTAGCAGGTTGACTGAGACACTTTGTAGTTTCCACAAATATGCCTTCTGGCAACAGCTTGCACTGTTGTTTGCCATATCTTGTTTTGTAATACTGTTGACTGAGCCAGTACCGTACCTGTACATCAGCAGGCCCCCCACTTAATTAAAGTTTCAACGACGAGTGCTTTGGCAAGTCTCATTTCCGTGCACTACTCCATGCAGCTACTCGACATTGTTTCCCTTGTTCCGGGGCCATGCAAAGGTGTCCAAAGCAGGCAACGCGACACAGCAGCTCCCGTGGCTGAACGGCTACAATGTCGATTGATGTTGTGCTTGAATTGAGTGTTGTAGGGGCGACTGTACTCGGTGACAAGGTTGTAGGGTTTCCAGTGGTGGGCAACAAGGTGGTTGGTCCTGCAGTGCTGGGACTGAGTGTGGTTGGACCACCCATGCTGGGGCCTGCAGTGCTTGGCAACAGGGTAGTGGGCATCACCATACTGGGAACAGCCAAGCTGGGCGACAGTGTTGTGGGGGCTGCAGTGCTTGGGCACCCTGTGGTGGGGCCAGCAGTAGTGGGCCAATCAGTGCTCGGGCTTAGTGTACTGGGGATATCCGTTGTAGGACCCCATGTGCTCGGGGCATTGGTTGTTGGGCCTCCAGTGTGTGGGGCCAACCGTTGTTGGGACCCCGGTGCTCGTTGGGGGTGCTCGTTGGGATTCCGGTGCTCCGACTCTCGGTGGAGGGACTACCAGTGCTTGGGCTCTGAGTGGAGGGAACCATGGTGCTCGGACTCATGGTTGTTGGACCGAGGGTTGTTGGCAACAGGGTGGTGAGCGCCACACTGAGCTCATCAACCGGAACGGTGGGAGCCAAGGTGCTGGGGCTTGAAGTGCTTATAGGCTGACGCTGGTGGGACTGGCCGTGGTGGGCTACAAGGTAGTTGGCCCTGTGGTGCAGGGACCAGTGGTGGTTGGCCCACCCATGCTGGGGCTTGCTGTGCTTGGCAACAGGGTTGTGGGCATCCCCGTACTGGGAACAGCCGTGCTGGGCGAAAGCGTAGTGGGGCCCGCAGTGCTTGGGCTCGCAGTGGTGGGCGACAAGGTAGTTGGCCCTGTGGTGCTAGGGCTCAACGTGCTGGGGCCATCCGTTGTTGGACCCGCGGTGCTCGGGGCATCCCTTGTCGGGCCTCCTGTGCTGGGGCCAACCGTTGTTGGGACCTGGTGCTCCGTGACAAGGTAGTTGGGATGCCGGTGCACCGACTCTCCGTGGAAGCACTGGCACTGAGTGGTGGGAAATGTGGTGCTGGGGTCAACTGTTGTTGGGACCCCAGTGCTGGGTGACAAGGTAGTTGGGATTCCGGTCCTCCAACTCTTAGTGCTTGGACTACCAGTGCTTGGGCTCTGAGTGGGGGAACCTGTGGTGCTTCGACTCAGCGATGTCGGACCAAGGGTTGTTGGGGACAGCGTGGTGGGCACCGTACTGGGCTCCCCAACGGGAACGGCGGGAGCCAAGGTGCTGGGGTTTGAAGTGCTTGGGCTGGCGATGGTGGGGCTCACTGTGGTGGGCTAAGGGCCCACTGTGGTGGGCTACACGGTAGTTGGCCCTGTGGTGTTGGGACCAGTGGTGGTTGGCCCACCCATGCTGGGGCTTGCTGTGCTTGGCAACAGGGTTGTGGGCATCCCAGTACTGGGAACAGCCATGCTGGGGGGAAGTGTAGTGGGGCCCACAGTGCTTGGGCTCGCTGTGGTGGGTGACGAGGTAGTTGGCCCTGTGGTGCTTGGGCTCAATGTGCTGGGGCTATTGGTTTTTGGACCTGTGGAGCTCCGACTCTCGGTGGAGGGACTACCAGTGCTTGGGCTCTGAGTGGAGGGGAACTGTGGTGCTTGGACTCACAGTTGTCGGACCAGTTTGTTGGGGACAGGGTGGTTGGCACCATACTGGGCTCGCCAATGGGGACGGTGGGAGCCAAGGTGCTGGGGTTTGAAGTGCTTGGGCTGGCGCTGGTGGGGCTCACTGTGGTGGGCTACAAGGTAGTTGGCCCTGTGGTGCTGGGATTCCGGGCCCTGGTGGTGGGGCCCCTCGTCTAATCAATCTCCACAAGCCGAACTTTTCTCAGACCTTGACCTTTTCATCTATGACCGCTGGTTTCTGACGTTGCACCTCCTCCAGGAGCTCGAAGGAGTCTTCTTCGAAGTTGCACAAACCAGCTGGCCCTCCAGTTTCGTCTCCAAACAAATAGCCTTCCACTTGCCCTCAACGCTCCAGACATCGCATGTATTGCTGGTGCCACAAGGTGGGATGCAGTTTGCTGCCACTCGTTTCTGCAACCATACCGGTAGGGATGCGTAAGGAAGCCGTGGCTGAGCGATCTGTCTTGATACTGCCAGCCATCGCATAATGGAAATGTGGCTCGGGCTTCTTCCATGATACCAAGTCCGAGATACTGTTGTGCTTGCCGTATTTCGATGATTAGCATTTCTTCTCCGTGCAGAGAAGTGCAGTACTCGCCATTCCACCATGAGCCCATGTGCAACCAGGTGTACTTGCTCAACTCGCTAGATGCATCTTGTCTTGTCGCGTGATCTTGCCAGTGCGGCGTTTGATCCCAGACATGAATCAAGCGAAAAAGTGGGTGTGAGTAGATGAATTGGTAATCCACACCTTCTTAAGCCCATCAGCTCTGATAGAATAGCCCTGCCCTTCTAAACTTGCTCGCACTACGTTGGACATCGCTGTTTGTGCTTTCCTGTATGTGTCCGGCTGCACATACTTCTGGTAGTGCCCATATGGGTCTTGGGAGTGATCGATGATCACCACAAAGGCCATCATACCCAGCAAATCGTCCAAAGGAAACGGTCCTTTGGGAGGGTTCAGGCTCACAAATCCAAACTTGTCCGCCGTCTTTTGTCCTCGCGCCATCTCCAGTTGGTTGTGGTTCACAGTAGTAGACTCACGACTCCAAAAGGCATCCAAGTTTCCCCGACGGATGTGAAGTCACAGTCTTTCATGGACCACATTTCCAACTACCGGGTCTCGTTGCATCCTGTTACGAAAATGACACACCTCCCATTGAAAGGTAAGCATCAAGTGATCACTGTCTCTTGCCTGCAGATAAATGTTCTCATCCTTGCGAGCCAAGCTCAACCCATCGTCATCCGCCTTCTTCCTCGATCGAAATCCATCCTTTTCCTCCACTCCATAACACCCTGCGCACCATGCTCCTCCACACCGTCCAAAACTAGCTTGCCGACTCAAGTAGTTCGCACAAACTACTCCTGAACCAGCCATGATGTGCTTCCTGCATCCTCGGGCCTTGCAGAAACCGCTCAAGCTTTTCCAGCAGATAGGATCTTTGTTTGAATTTGGGGTCAGAGGTGTCAATTGGCAAGCAAACAAAGATAAGAACAGGTTCAAACATGGTGTTCCACTCCCAGACACCACAATAAGACAATTGGAAATTGAAATCAGTTGCCCGGCTCAAGTGCTTGCGCCAGAGACCCGTCATCAGCCTGGGCACCACGACAACATGGAAGTGTGCTGTGCTCTCTTGTGTCTTGACACCCCAAGTTGTTCCACCACGACGTCAGCAGCAGTGGGAGGGGGTGACCAGCAACATGCCTTGTGAGTCTGGCCCGTCGTGAACCACTCGTTGGTGCTCAAGGACTGCAAGTCTCCTGACAGGTCAAACACGTCTTCAAGCCAATCCTGCAAGCGATGGCCGTCAAGTGCAGATGGCCGGCAAGTGCAACGGGATGAACTCAACAATCTTCAAGCCCCGCATACAACCAGCTCCCTGGTAGCCACGTGAGAGCCCATCGGTGCCCTGCTCAATCATGCGTTTACCACTGACATGGAACAAGTGCAGCTTGAATCGATGAGTCATCTGCAGATCCTCAGCACCAGCTGGTCCAGCAGCTCCGAAATTAATAGCCCTTGTGGTAAGCTCGTTCCGCAACAAAGTTGTCGGTGGCAGCAAACATATCCGGATCAGCCAGCTCTCCTCTTTCTCCTCGCCTTTCCAAATACTCGACGAAATTGTTCAGCTCGCCCCAATTGGATGACACTTCAGATGACACTGTGAAAGGCCATTGGCCGTGTTCAATCTCGATGGCTTCCTGGCCAGCAACTTGCGAAGAGAAACCAAACCCTGGCCCGGATTTGTGTCTCCGAATCCGTACACCACCCAAAGGGTTCGTCTGCATCGGACAATGTTCAGTGGAGGCTGTTCCGCTGCTGTCAAGGCCAGCAAGGCGCGAAAATCATGGTGGAGCCGTGGGACCGCCTTCACACGCTTTGGGGCCAAGGCCAGGGTTCCTTGAAACCGCCCGCCTCATGGCCTTGGAGATTCCAGTCCTCCATGTCCGACGCCATGTACCACCGGTTCTTCCATCCATCGATGGTCCAGTTCTCTCTCCAACCGTCGATGGTGAGATGGAGTCCATTGAGGTGGGGGTTCAGACTTCGGTAGGCTTGGCCAATGTGAATCATGTACCCCCAAATTTCTTCAAGTCTCAACTTGTTCAGGGAGTCCGTGTCTTGTTCCAACATGTCGGCCAACTCCCAAACAATGTCCTGCAGTTTGGCCCATTTGTCATCAGCCACCAAGACGGCAACTTTCATCTTGCTGGTCCACACAACGCTGCCAGACTATGCCCCGGGTCGCTGGCTAATCATTCTCCTCTTCCTGGATGCATCTTTCAACCCAAAGAAACTACACTGACTGGCTACCGCGCGAGTCGCCAGCCACCCTTCGTTCTCGTCGTTGCCTGCAGTTCTGACGTCATCCACGAAGATAACGCGATCGGCAGCTATCTTTCCATCACGCCTGACTTTGGAGACCCAAGGCAAGGTCGGGTCATAGCTTGGGTCGCCTGGCAAGTTGAGTCTGACATGGTCCCAGCGGAAAATGTTGTCTGAAGAAAGACGGTCTCCTCCGACCACCTCGTCTAAGACCATCATCCCTTGGCAAGCTTGGTAAGGACTCCACGTGAATCCCATGCCAGTTCGACCCCACGCTTCAATTACCTTTCCTCCGTTCTTTGTGGCTTCGTCCGGAAAGTAAGGGGTCATATCCACTCCACAGAAAGGCACCAACAAATCATGGAGTATGAAGTTGAGAAACATTTCTCCCACATCCATGTCTCCCATCCACGTGCCGTAAGTTACCATGTGCAACAGGGAAAGCAAAGTGTATCGGGGGGTTGGACCGAGGCTTGTTGGCAACAGGGTGGTGGGCGCCGCACTGATCTCGTCAACGGGAACTGTGGGAGCCAAGGTGCTGGGGCTTGAAGTGCTTGGGCTGACGCTGGTGGGGGCTCGCCGTGGTGGGCTACAAGGTAGTTGGCCCTGTGGTGCTGGGACCAGTCGTGGTTGGACCACCCAGGCTGGGGCTTGCTGTGCTTGGCCACTGGGTTGTGGGCATCCCAGTACTGGGAACAGCCATGCTGGGGGAAAGTGTAGTGGGGCCCACATCAAGCAGTCCAGCCTTTCTCGATCTTCTTCGACCCAGCGTCCATTGGAAGTCCTGATGGCTTGGTCCGTCCAAAAGTACGTGGGGATCTCGGCATCGGTCCCTCGCTTCTCTAGCCATGGCCTCTGTGTCTGGCTCTTCCTCGACTAATTCCTCCTCATCACTGTCGTCCACAATTCCAAGTTCTTCCTCTTGAATCTTTTCAAACCAGTCCTTTGGCCGTGGCATCAACTTGGGGGGCAGTCGTCGTCGTCATCGTCGTCGTCCATTTCCAACTGATCGACACCAAGGCTCGTCTTGAGAGCAGCTGCCTTAGCAATAGGCAGAAAAGGCTTGACTTGTCCCATGCGGGCAGCAAAGCGACACTTCTTGAGCCAGGGTTCCAGTGGAGAATCGAAACAAATCCCCCCCGTCCCCATTATCGTCGGCTGCATCTTGCCAGGACTGAATGGCTCCAAACAGATTGAAAGCTGACACCAAAGATTCGACTGGTTTGATGCGGCGACCCACCGTGTCCCAGTAGGCAGCCACCATGCGAACATGTTGGCCAGAAACCCCAAGAGCTTCAAGAACCTCCTTTGGCCCAAGATGTCGAAAACTCCATCGGTTCAGCTTGGCTAAGAAGACTGAGGGTCCCGCAATCCAGGTCTCTGAGGACAAATCTGCCAGCAGAAACCCAGCGAAATGGTACACGTGTTGGCCATGGAACTCATCAATAACCCGAGCCTCAAGAGGGAAAACAATTCGGTTCACCGGTGGCAGCATGGGGCCTCGACCACGAGACGTTGTTCCAATCACCGTTCCCGCATCATGAGGTGTGACATGGGGAAGATCATCGATCATTGGGAACAACCCTTGAGGAAAGAAGGCCAACGAGTTCCAGCTGAAGAATACCTTGGTTTGCCCCTCAGTAATGCCGCCGCATTTCTGGTGGTCGAATGCCAGGTCATATGAGTGCCACACATGCCGTTTCCCGCAAGCTCCTCGGATTGGCTTGAGAGACAGAATCCGGGTGACTCCATGGTCATCCAACAACTAGAGGATCGCATCCGAAGGTCGACCCTCGATCAGAGCCCAGTCTGCCCTGGCATCCAGCCCAGGTGCAAACCAAGTTGAATGCGTGACACGTTTCTCGCAGTCACCCACCAACTCGTTGACCAACTCAAGGTGGGAATCCAACGTTAAAAAGACCTTGGTGACCTCCAGCCAAGCGCCCGGCAATGCCAGCAACCAAGCTGAGAAGCCGTCTCCAAAGACCCAACAAGTCTCTCTGGCTTCACCACTCCTCTAGTGACTCTGCGAAGAGATGGGCGGTCAACTTGTCAACAGCATGCCCCACACAAACAAGCAGCACAACACGTAAGTAAACATATATGGTAACCCAGTGGGCTAGAGGGGACTCAGATGTGAGATCCTCGTGTACTTCCGCCAGACCTCATATCCTTGCCCGTGTGTGGTGGTGCTGTCCAGGTTGATGTACCAAAAATCGTAGCCGTGTTTGCCGCTCAGAGTTCCCTTGCGTCTTTTCAGCTCATTGCTGTCTCCCAACAGGATCACTCCATCTCAGCTCTTGAAGTCATTCTTCTTCTTTGGCCGCCGCTGGGGCTGTGAGTGAGGCTAAGCTGTGTCGGATGAGACTTCTTAGCTGGAGCTGGTGGTGTCGTCTGGGTCTTGGCTTCCTGAGTGATATGGAGAGCTTCCAATTCTGCCTCTATGCGAACCAAATCAGTGGCATCGTTCGCGTCGGGGATCCGAGGCACCATCTTGATCAGAGCTGTGATGAGTTCATTGTGCGTCCTAGCCATGGTGAAGCTAGCAACCACTTTGTTGTCAATCTAAGTTGTTGGTATCTTGTTGCGTGTTGTGGCGAGCCAACAATCGCTGTTGGTGCGTAAGGGCCATCAGGTATCCGTTGCCAAAAGGCACACCTGGCACACCATCAACGAATTCTTGGACTGACGTCGGGATCGAGATTGCATGATTGCATGATCGAGTTGATCGCCCTGTCCGACGGGACCCATGCGTTGATTCGCAACAACTCCCATGAGGGTCTCGTGAGACTTGAAGGAGTTGTCTCTGTTCGTTGTCGAACGACCTTCGATAGAGTGAACCTTCCAGTAAACAGAGCCATAATTTCTTGGTCTCAATCAGAACAAGGGTAAGTTCCAAGAGTGTCTTCTCGATCAGCTTGAAAGCGTCTAACCATTGTTTTGTTGTCGGTAGATCTATCTCCATGCCATCCACCAATCCCCAGCACCGCATCAACCACATTGCTCGCGGCATCGAGCAACGTCAGAACCGGAATTCCTTCTTGCAAGCCCGAAATGCTCTCCAAGCCCACCATCTCAGCTCGAAGCACACCTGGAGACTTTGTTCGCTCAGTCCAACGCTTCTGCGACTCGTCATGGCAATGCCGTGACCTCCTTGGAGAACAACTTGGAGAACAACTTGAACCAAGCCGATACTATGGCCAAAGGTTTGGACAAGCAACGTGAAGGATCTCGTGAGATCCTGTCTTTGTTGGTGTCCAGCGAAGGGGCCGAAGCCACTGCCTACAACGCCACCCGAGTCAAGATGTGCCGTCGCGGTCTTGACTTGGCTTGCAGAGTTTGGAGCGTTCCAAAGTACCGAGAGACGCAGCGTCCTACCAATAGCCAGGCTTCCTTAGGGGGGTAAGTAGATGCGGTCGTAAGCGATCGTTGGTAGTTCGTCATGTAACTCAACACCCTCTCACAGTGCTAGAGAGCAAAATGAGTCATGTGACCTTTGAGGCGCCCCTCTGGTGTAGCCATGTCTCCCAACCAGCTGTAGGACTGACCCAAGTCTTCCAGAAGTAGGGTCATGTGGGTCTTCTGGCTGTTCATGTTTTCATCATAAGAGAAATATGATGGCAGCGAGACTCTGGCCGTGAACGTTACCACAGATGCCTTGAGGGTATCCATCGTATGATTCAGTTCCAAAATGGCTTCTGACATCAACTTAATGCCATACTTGGTGTCCTCATCTTGTGCCACGTCAGCTTCAGCAAGCAAGTTGAGCCTGGCTTTGACACCCGACCTCATCTGCTTCTCACCAGCGCTTCGTGCATCCCATCTGACGTTGGTTCCATGAATTGCTGAAGCTTCCTGGAGTCTTCAAGACTTGAGACTCCATCGGTCTTAGGTCCTTCATGCGTCAACACCATGGCTCGTAGTACATCGGCTTGACCAGTGAAACCCTTCAGCAATTTCAGAACCTCGCTTGGCAAGTTGCTGAGCAGCGTAGCTGGCACAGCAAAGACTAGCACGACTGGAATCGGCAGATGAAGGGGACGTGCTATCGTCAAAGGTGAAAGCTGGCGGAAAGGCAAACTCATCAAACATCATGGCCGTAGATACCCTCAAAATTTCTCTGCAGATAGACAAGATGATCAAGAGAGTGATCAACCTCACTTCTTCACCTTGGCTTGCTGCAGGTTAGTCTTGATAGTAGCTTCTGGATCTTCTGCTTCAGAAAGAATGAGTCTGTGGTCTCTGGGAAGACCACCTGGCGGATGACTCGCAAGGTTGCTCCCTGGATCTTGGATACTCCTGACTGAGTTGTGACTGCGACCTCTCCCCTTGAACCTATCTGCTTGGCTGGTGGCGAGTATTAGCCCACAGTGCTTTGGCTCACTGTGGTGGGTGACAACGTAGTTGGCCATGTGGTGCCAGGGCTCAACATGCTGGGACTATCGGTTGTTGGACCTGTGGAGCTCGGGCATCCGTTGTGGGGACTCCAGTGCTGGGGCCAACCATTGTTGGGACCCCGGTGCTCCGTGACAAGGTAGTTGGGATTCCCGTGCTCCGACTCTGGGTGGAGGGACTACCAGTGCTTCGGCTCTGAGTGGAGGGAACTGTGGTGCTCGGACTCAGGGTTGTTGGACCAAGGGTTGTTGAGGACAGCATGGTGGGCGTCGAACTGGGCTCGACAACGGGAACGGTGTGAGTCAAGGTGCTGGTGTTTGAATTGCTTGGGCTGGCACTGGTGGGGCTCACTGTGGTGGGCTACAAGGTAGTTGGCCATGTGGTGCTGGGACCAGTCGTGGTTTGGTTGCCCCTGCTGGGGCTTGCTCTGCTTGGCAACAGGGTTGTGGGCATCCCGAACTGGGAACAGCCTTGCTGGGGGAAAGTGTAGTGGGGCCCACAGTGCTTGGGCTCGCTGTGGTGGGTGACAAGGTAGTTGGCCCTGTGGTGCTCCGGCTCAACATGCTGGGGCTATGGGTTGTTGGACCCATGGTGCTCGGGCTCAATGTGCTGGGACTATTGGTTGTTGGACCTGTGGAGCTCGGGGCATCCCTTGTAGGGGCTCCAGTGCTGGGGTCAACCGTTGTTGGGACCCTGGTGCTCCGTGACGAGGTAGTTAGAATTCCAGTGCTCGGACTCTCGGTGGAGGGACTGCCGGTGCTTGGGCTCTGAGTGGAGGGAACCGTGGTGCTCGGACTCACGGTTGTCGGACCAAGGGTTGTTGGGGACAGCATGGTGGGCGCCGCACTGGGCTCGCCAATGGGAATGGTGGGAGCCAAGGTGCTGGGGCTATTGGTGGTGGGCGACAAGGTAGTTGGCCCTGTGGTGCTGGGACCAGTAGTGGTTGGACCACCCGTGCTGGGGCTTGCTGTGCTAGGAAACAGGGTGGTGGGCATTCCCTTAGTGGGAACAGCCATGCTGGAGGAAAGCCGCTGGGGCTAGATTGAGGTCGCCAGCTTGCAAGAAGGAACTGAGTTGGCGACCCGTGAAGTTATGATTGGAAAACAACCATCGAGGAGGACTCTCCAATAACTAACAGGTTGAGGATGTGGTTCGTATAAGATGGCACTCCATGAGATGAGACCAGACACAGGAACCTGGTGACCCGCGACAGATAACCCAAGTAACATGATAGACAGGATTGCGGTCTGCAGCAAGCAGCCAATCCGGTTTGCTGGAGTCAAGCACGAGCCAGCAATCCGTCCGTTCTGCAGAAGACGTGCGGATCCCTCTGGGAACACCACGGATTGAGACTCTCCGGTCTCAAGGCGACGCAGCCAGGGGCTCTGGGTCCGACCGTGGCATGTGCCCGGCCGATCTAGGGGGTGGCTGTAGCTGTTGCGGAGCCAAAGCGGCCTGTGCCTTGCCAAGCTAGTAGCATTGTAGCGTTGCTCTTGTCTTGGCTGGTATTGGGGAAACACAAATAAGGTCCCCATGAATCTCAATGTCTGGGCTGACATTAGTGAACTCAAGCTCATGTTCACCACTCTCCACTCCAGCCTCAGCTCCAGGATCCCACAACACGAATGGAGGACATTGTTCGGTTGGACAAGTAAGTACGGTACAAGTCTCATCATGACAACCGCTGTGATGTCCAGCTTCATTATGAGGACTTGCCCATTCATTATGCGAACGACCTCTCCAACGTCCCAGAGTTATGGATAGTTCTCCTCAATGGTTGTTCTCCAATTGCACCGCTTTGGTTCCTCCTCGGTTTCTGCATGGCCCTCAAGAGGGCACCAGGTTTAACTTCGAACTTGACTTTCATTTTTCGAAGTCGCGGTAGTCGCGATAGTCGCGCACCGCGACTTAAACTCTGCCATAGTCGCCGGAAATTGAACAAAACAAACTCGACTAGAATCCTTCCAGATCCAAGAGCTCCAACGATGAACTTGGAAAGTTCCCAACCTACCCCAAACGGATGTTCTAGGACCAACAAGCGTAGCTATTTATTAGCTGTCAACTCAGTGTGTGGACCTCTATCCAACCTTCGACTCTGGGGCAACAACCTTTGCCGACGGAGGATTCTCGCACTCAACAGGAGTGGAAGCCGAAGCAACCATCCCTAGCCTCGTCGCTAGCTAGACGACGCAAACACCGCCTGTACAATGGGAGAGACCGACAGGATGAAAAGGGTGAGCTTGGCTCCGACCGTGGCGTGCTCGGCCGATCTAGGGGTGGCTGCAGCAACAGGCGGAGCCGAAGCCGCTGGTGCCTTGCCTTGCCAAGCCCCTAAACTTCTTCTTCTTTTCAAGAGCCACGAGCTTGTTAGCGGTGGCCTGCTTGTACGTCATAAACTCTGGCCTCAAAAGCAGCAATTTTGGAGTCACCCTTGTCCACTGAATTAGCGAGGCCGATCTTCCCATCTTGTTTGCTTGTCCACGGGAGCAGTCCTCATAATGAAGCTGGACATCGCAGCGGTCCCAGTGGTCAGATCGGGCCCACTGCACTGCACTACTCTGCTGCTTTAAGCGGCGAAGCAAAAGGAGTGAGATCTTGCGTGACCTCAATAAGCGATTTGGACCCCGCAACCTTGTCCCCGTCCACCACTCTTGTATGTCCGCGCCCTTTCTGACAGAGTGCCTCAGCTGCATTCTAGAGATCTTGACACAGGTGCCAAATTCCAGTCCTGCAATTGTGTCGGGAGGACTCATCTGGAGGTCTAACTTCCCTTGCACATCTCCCGATATTGGATGGAGATCATACCCCAACGAGGGCGAGCTCACGACCACCCACTTCGATGATTCTGACTCGGATCTTGACACAGTATTGCCGGACAACGAGCTCTCAGTCTACACCATCCTCTCATACGGTGAAGGCCCTGACTCTGATGATGATCTGTGAAGCCTTGGATGGGCTTGGGCGTCGATAGGCAGCCACACTTCACCGATAGATGTCGAGATTTCACCGATGGATACCGATAGCGCTGGGCCATTTCATCGATGGGCCCCTAAATCTAATTGAGTACCTCATCGGTGTATCGGTAATACGCCCCATCCCATGCGGCTGTGGTCCCAGAATATCTCTGGACTGAGCATTGCGTAAAGGATGGTCCCGGTTCGTGGGAAGGTTCCCTCTGAAGGAACAAGAAGCTCATCCTGGACTTCCTGATGAGGACACAAGCTCTTCGATGGTGGCGACGTCATCTCACTAAGGATTTCTTGGGTTGGAACAGTCAATGCCACAATACTCCTTGGGCCACGACTGCAGAGATCACAGTCTTTGGAACCGTGCCCTACACGAGGTGGATCAAGGACCCAGACAGGCCGGGCGAACTGATTCAGGAGCACCAAGTTGGAGCCAGATACTGTTGGTCAAACCGAAAGAGCAAGACTACAAATTCCTGTTGGCATGAGAGTTGCTTCGGCAAACCCAATCAATTTGTGGAGCTGCTAGCCCCCGATGTGATTGCTCGAACTGGGCAACATGGTGGGAGTGGAAGCAAAGCTCCAGACCGTTTTTCTGGCGCTGGCAGGAGGAAGCGCAGCTGCTGCTGAGAGACTGAGACACGGCGTGTTGGTACATCTCATCAGCGATGCCCGAAGCTTCTGGGAGTACTGTAGACTCTCAGGCTCAAGATCTGGTCCGGGCAAAGTTGGAAAGGTGGTAGTCTCTGGATACATACCGGTTGCTCGCAAACGTATACTAGTTTGGTGTCCTAATTCATGTGGCTGCATCTCACTATTGATAGGTGGACACAGAACTAGCTAGGGATGCTAGGGGTGGGCCGATCGATTTCGGCAGAGTTTCCTTGGAGATGCGTCCAGAGTTGGTGTTGGGGCCACTTTAAACAAGAAGATGGGGTCAGCCGACAAAGATTCGACTCGTCGGCTCAAGCCAAATTCCACGCGTCTACCAACTCCAAAGTGTCCATGCTTCAACCATCAAGATATTGCATAGCAGCGGATAGCAGGAAGTTTGCGGGGGCACCTGGATCCTTCTCTATTCTTTTTCTGGGAGGTCTAACTTGACCTCCGGAGGAACAGAGCGACAAGAGCGTAGATCTTGAATGGGACACAAGCCAGGACTGCCAGAAGAAGAGAGGGACATGCCAAGATCTTGAATGACAACATGGGACCGCCAGAGGGAGCAATGAATCACCACAAGAAGCTACAAGATAGATGTCCGTCATCAAGAAGAAAAAGGGAGAACCACTGGATTTGTGGGTGCCTGCCTCTGCTGTCCATTGTGTCAAAGCTCGAGAATGAAGACTGACTTCTGACTCTCTCTTCATTTTAAAATTGGCAAGTCTGTTCCAAGCATTCGCGCGTGGAACAAAGCATCCAAGCATCCATCGAATCAATGCATACTGCAGTTGTCCGAGTGAATCGAATGATTATATCCGGAAGTACGCACACCCATGCATTAGTGTCTATTCATTCACAACCACACTGAGGACAGCTGCACGTCACACTCTCACAATCGACCATCAACGTCCATGTGGAGTTGCAAAGGCTGGGATGAATGGTCCCCGTGAGCAATGGATTGCGCTGAAGCTCCAACGCGGTCAATGCCGTGAGGTACCCCAAGCTGCTCGGAAGGGGACCGGACAGTTGATTGCTTCCCAAATCCAAATAAGTGAGTTGATTGGATAAAAGCCCCAGCTCGGATGGGATGGTTCCCGAAAATTGGTTCGAGTGGAGGCGGATTTCGTGCAGGTTGGTCATCAAACCCAACTCGGTCGGTAGTGGGCCCACCAGTCTATTATCGTGCAACCACAACTCCTCCAGCACGGTCAATTGGCCAAGTTCGCTCGGAAGTGATCCCGTCACGTAGTTCTGCCACACGAGCAACTCTGTCAATGCCCCCAATTGACCAATCTCGGTTCCAATCGTTCCTTGGATACTTTCTTCTCCACGATTAATGTAGGTAGTTTCGAGATTGTAGTCCACCCCAAACAGTCGGACTTGCGGAAGGTCGTCGTCGTCATCTCCACAGTGACATTGCGGGCAGGTGCATTTGACAGAATCACAATCCACACGCACCAACGCCAAGCTCGGTAGGTCGCAAATACTGTCCGCCGTTCCATTCAGTCGAGAATTGCCCTGTAGCCACAAGGAAAACAGGCGGCCCTGCTGCCATTCGGTTGGAATGGTGCCGGACAATTGGTTTTGATGCAATCTGAGAAATGTCATCCTGTCGAGTTGCCCAAGTTCGGATGGAAGTTCTCCCGATAGTTGGTTGAAGGACAAGTCGAGGCGATACAAGGAGGAGGACAACTGGCCTAATTCGGTTGGCACTGCCAACGTCAAGTTGTTTTGCGAGAGCGTCAAGTCCGTCAGAGCCACAAGCTCGCCAATCTCAGAAGGAATACCACCCGAAAGTTGATTGGCATTCCAAATGCGCACGGTTTTCAACGCCGTCAGCAATCCCAACTCGGTGGGCAACGTGCCATGAAGATCATTGTCCAGTCCGTTCAAGATCAGTCTCGTGAGAGCGGAAAGCAATCCAATCTCCGAGGGAATGGTGGCTGTAATGCCTCGGTCCGCAAATACATAGAGGTAGGTGGTGGTTTCAATTTCGTAGCTGTCCCCAAACACATCAGTCGCAAAGGTGGGTCGGTCGGCAGGAGTTCCCAACAAAATGGTGTTGTTCTCGTTGACCCAAAACTCGACGACACTGGTTTTTCGAAAGTTGGGGGAAATACTCCACAACACGCCATCATCCTCGTCATCATCAGTAGTAGTAGTAGTAGTAGTATTGGTGGTGGTAATGGTCGCCCATCCGTTCAGGCAACAGAACCCATCGGATGCCTCGTCACGAAGGGTGAATCGATACGGACGGCCCGCCGTGAGATTGGAGATTGGAAATGACTCCAGCATGCGTGGATTCCCCGCGCCACAGCCGTCGCATTCCTCCACCACTGCCCATGAAGTGCTATTCGATTCGAGCTCTTCCAAGAGCCACACAGTTTCATCGGGGTAATTGTCGTAGCGGATGTTGATGACGACGGAATTGCTACTAGCGGCGAACGGCCCTGGCCAATCGGGATCGTCGACTTCTGGATCAAAGGCAAAGACTACAGTAGTACAGGAAGAGAAGAAGAACAGCAGCAGGAAAGCAGCTCCAACGGCGGCCGCTTTCAAGGACATGGTTGCATGAAAGAAAACTGGAGCAGAATGATCAGGCACTCCACTTCCTTCCTCTGCTTTGAGTGCTGTGTCAATAATGGTGACGAACAGATCCAATCGAAAAATTCGATTTTGGCGGGAGCCAAGCATGCCATTCTCATTCATTCATGCAAAACATATCTTGGCGCCAACCAACCAAGGTCCTGCACACGGCTCACATGTCAAGAACGCGGCCTCACATTTTCGGTCTTTTTCATCACGTTCTTTCGCCCACAGTCCTACTAAGTAGCTAGAAGCAAACGATCATCAATCATCTCTCGAAGAGTATTTATTTATTCATACGAATGGAAGCAATATCAGCTTATTGGCCGTTCCGTTGCAAGTATTGGTATTGTCGAGTCGAGAATTTGATCACACAAGGTGTCCCTTTATTAGAGTAGTCTTAATTCGTAGTTCACAGTTTGAAGTGGCTGGGTGCCTGGCAAGCAACGTCAAGCCAATCACACACCTGCTGGTCTCGTAGACGTGCAAAAGTAGCGGTACTAGTACCCAACCAAGCTACTAGCTAGTAGTCCAAATTTCCTCCAGATGGACCAACATCTCACACCTCTCCTCACACGTCCCTCTCAGCATGGCACATTTCCTTTCCTCAGTTTCACACAAAAACGGCTGATTACGGTTCCCGTGGTTCGAGCTTTCTTCTGGTCCTGTGCTTTCTGGTGACTTCAGTTAGTTCAGGGTTTAGATCTGTCTTTTGACGTTGCTGATCCTTTCTTTTGCTTCACATACCGGTAAATCTAATTTAGAAGGGATAGGATATACTTCTTAGTCAATAATCTAGCTACTACTAGTAGCTACCCATCTACTCTGATTCAAATCGGCACCGGTACCTTCGTGCATCATGCAGGTATTCCTCGGTGAACGAGTAGGCACAGGAGGACAAGGTACTCTAGCATCCTTCGCTCGTTTCCATCAACTTTTCAATGCCACCCAGCACACTTTCAAACTCGACGGATTTCCACTTGCCAAAGAGAGGATGCGAATAGAACGATCTCATCGGAACCCTGGGAGCGTCGAGGCCGTGCAGGAACTTGGCTATTGCCATTGCTGTGTAGTCGTTGAACCTCGCGTCACCTATCCTAACAGAACCCTCCTCCTGCACCTGACTATGCTTCCCGAGTTGAGGCAAGTCAGAGAGAAGTCCCACCGCATCGTTGCGTAGCTCATTGAGAGGGACTTTATGGAATGAATCTGGTAGGAGACCCTCCTTTGTGTTGGCAACATCACACGAATCGTCGCCCACCGCTCCGTTCTTGTCTCGTGAGAAATACTGCGAAGTCAACTCCTGGAATCGCGCTAGACCCGCCGACTTCTCTGTAGTGTTGGCATTGGTTGTTGTAGATTTCGTGTTGGCAGCGTCGGCAACCTCCTTCATGATCCGGTACATGCCCACGACTTTCTTGGCGCTGGAGTTGACGGCGTTGTGAAAGCTTGCCGTCAAGCTTTCCGCAAGTTCTTCGACCCACTCGCCACTGTCGTCGTTAAAGCGCTCCTGGCCAGTGGCGTGAACAATGACGTGCAAACCTCTCCCAGCTGCTGTGGTATCCAGTGACAGTTCTAGCTCGTTGTTCGACTGGAGCCTTCGAAGAGCAGCATAAACATGTCTTGGTTCTGCGCTGGGGCCCAGTCGGTTGACACAATCGATCACAGAGAAGGAGTATGCACCTTGACTATAGGCAAGGAAACGTTTTTCGAATTTCGATTGATGTTGATCGCACCTCATCGTGTCCTCGGTGGGTGCCTTCCCGTCCTCCGAGAGGACAGGAGCATGGACACAGGTGCTACAGTCTTTGATTGCTCGAGCAATATCTTCGGTCTTGGCCAGACTGGAGAGAGGGCGTTTCTTCAACGCGATTGTTGCTGTGTTGAATGTGATTCCCTCCACGTGTAATATTGGGGACTCGCCTCCGTCTCTTTCGATGAGCGACAAGATTGTCTCGATGGTCTCATGCTTGCAGTCAAACCTGAGCACGGAGACTTCCAGTGGCAAAATCACATGTACGGGCCCTCCTTTGCTTTCAGTCATGTCGACAGCCTTGGCAATCCGTTCTTTTAAATCCAACAGGATGGCTCTGACTTGACTACGAGAAATCAGGTCCGTGTGAACAAGAGAATGGCGGATTGGAATCTCTTCGAGGAATGGCATGGAAATAGCCTTTGCAGGGCGCCCATCACGACCAGCGCGTCCTATCTCTTGAAGATAGTGTTCCAGTGATGCCGATAAATTCACATGGACGACTCCTTCAATGTCCGCTTTGTCGATACCTGGGCCATTCAAATGAGAACAGTCGTGTTAGCTTTGTGGTTGTGTCAAAGATCTTTAATAACAGCATCTTTTGGTCGCAGCGATCGACCCAGCCACACAACTGTTGTAAAACATACCTAGGCCGAAAGCAACCGTCGCCACACAGATCCGAGCCTTTCCACGCATAAAACGGCTCTGAGATTTTGTCCTCGCTGCCGTATTCATGCCTCCGTGATAGACAACCACGCCGCCTGCAACACCGGCATCCGTAAGCTGTTCGGCCACTACCTCTGTATCTTTTTGTCGCCATACGTACACAATCACAGAGCCTTTTGCCAAGCAACCAGGCAATTTCGCCGTGGATTCATCGTCAGCTCGGGCGCCATTTGTGCTCTTTCGTGGCCGTGGACTCAATATCTTGGATAGCTGCAGCAACAGTACTCGTACGGTGAGTGGCAGGACGAAACTCTTTTCTGTGACAGACAACACGCCCACCACTTACCATTGCAAGGCGCTCTTCAATGCTGGTAACATGTATGCATTCCACATCAATGTTGTCACGATCGGTTTTGAGTATACGGAGGCTATCCCCTGCGTTGGTGCTGCCTTCACTGCATTTTTCATGCTGCTCAATTCCAAGCGTGTTGCAAATGTCACCTACAACCCGAGGTTCCGCTGTAGCTGTTATAGCCAGAACGCTTTTTGGGTTGAGAAGGTTCAGGAAATGTTTGAATCGGAGGAAACAAGGACGAAAGTTGTGGGCCCATTGTCTGCAAAAGACGAGACGACGGAATAGAAGGGTTAGCACAAATTGCTTGGCCTCAGCCCGATTGTTGCTTCGATAGCGCTACATTACTCACGATGCACAATGAGCTTCATCAATACAGAGCAGCGAAATGTCTGGGAAAGTTCTCTGTCTCGTTTTCGTCTCCGGATCCCAGACCGGGCGGAACAACCGCCGAAAGGAAGCACTGACGAGACGTTCCGGCGAAATGAAAAGGACCTTGATTCGGTTTCGGACGATATCGTCGACAATGGCGGCCGTGGCTGCAGCCGTCAAGGATCCCGATAGGGTCGCGGCCGGGACTCGAGGCGGTAGGGATCGGAGTTGATCTTGAATGAGCGAAATCAACGGCGACACCACGATGCAAATGCCCGACATCATTGCGGCAGGTAGCGCATAACAGAGCGACTTTCCAAATCCAGTAGGAGCCACCAAGAGTGTGCGCTTGTGATCCAAACATCGTTGTATCGCCCATTCTTGGTGAGGACGAAAATCCTGCAAGCTAAAGATGTCGCGGAGACATCGGAGTTGAGGGGTTGCGGTCAAATCATCCATGTCCAAATCAGCAATAGCCTTGTCCAATGCCTCTTCTTCCTCGTCGTCAAATTCGTCCTCGTCTTCCATCTCATCCTTGGTCGAAGAGACATCCTGGCTGCTCCTGGTTCTACTAGTTTCCGTGGTGTCAGCGGTCTTTTCTGATGCAAAGAACTCCAATTCTTCATCCGAAGACTCGTCATCATCGTCGTCGTCACTCTCGCTGTCATCGTCATCCTCCACATCACTGCCGTCACACTCGTCGGTTGCCTTGGAAGCCGCATCACCTTTGCTCGGTTGCTGTTTTGCTGCTGCTGCTGCAGGTTGCTCCTTTGGAGCTGCCACCGCCGGTTGCACCTTGTCCTCCTTTTGCTTTTCGGTTTTATATTGTGGCAACTTGCTCAATTCATCTCGTACCCAAATAGAAAGGCGTGTCACGAGTTGTTTCTTTTTGCTATTATTGGCAGCAAAAGTCAATCCCCGTTGTGCCGCTTCTTGTTTTAGTTCGGGTACTGTCAATTGCTGAAACCGACTCGTGTAAGCGGCGACTTGTCGTGCCACAAACCCCGAGTAGGATCGATTGGCCAAGAGGGCTCGAGCGGCGGCTTGGGTGGTATCGTCGGCCCATTCAAAGTAATCGCACTGTTCTCCCTTGGGCATGGAACAGGCATAGAATTTGCGTCCCTTGTTGCCAGTGGTATTTTTCTTGACGACCAGCAATTTGCAGGGCAATTGATGACGAGCACATTTGGGATGCGAGTTTTCTTCGTTTGCTGCTGCTGCTTTGGTGGACTTGGTCTTGTTCTTGTTGGGATCGGTAGAAGTAGTCTTCTTGTTTTGGTAGACACCATCCAAGTAATCATCGAGAGGATCCAAACCAGTGCGTCTCGATTGCGTCGAGGGAATGCTTGCGGTGGACACTACTTGGTACTGATTCTTGCCACTTTTGTTATTACTGTAGCGTTCCCGTTCTTGCCACTTTTCCTGTCGATGACGGCGAAGCAATCGTTTTTGATTGGTCTTGGACCGGGCCCCTCGACACGCTCCGGCACTGTTTCTCAAGTTTTGTCGGACAAAGTTGTCATTGTTGACTGGTTTGGGTTTGATTTGCTTGGTTTTGGTTTTGGACTGCAGAGTAGTGCTGCTGCTGTGGAATTGTGATTGTGATTCGAATGTTGAGGTTTGTCTAGTGGTTGTTGCGGAGGAATCCAGTAAATTGGTGCTGCTGGAAAAACTAGTAGAAGTAGTGTGGTTTGTGGAGAGAAAGGATGGCACGGTGGGTGCATTGGTAGTGGCGACTGCTGGTAACATGGATGCTAGAACAGAAGCTGGTTGGAGTAGATTGGGTGTATCCGTACATGTATTGGTAGCGGTCTCGGAGAACGCCTTTCTCGAAGCAACGCTGGAACGCCTGGCTTTGGCAGTGGCGAGTTGTAGACTGACTTTGGTTGTCTGAGGAGGATGAGACTCAGCCGGCTTGGTTTTTGTGATGAGAGTACGGTTGACCTCAGACGAAGAAGCATCATCCTGCTTGCTACTAGTCTCAGAACTGATTGGTCGTGTAGTGGAAAAAAGATCAGGCTTTGTCTGACGTGTAGGTTTTGTAAGTGCTTTTGCTTGAGGAGGTTGTTGGATAGTACTACATGCAGTGCCAGCATTGACGCAAGCTGTACTTGGATGTTTTCGCTTGTTGTGGTTCCTTGGGTCTCCTCCTTTCTTGGTGACTGTCTTTGACGCAGCAGAAATGGTAGAACCGAGTATCGCTGTGGTTCCTGATACTCCCACTCGATTGGTGCTAGAACTGAGTGCTGCACTACCGGTAGTAGTATTGGTTGATGATGGGTTGAGTTTCTTTCTGCCCGCCACTAGACTGGAAAGACTCGTCTTTTGGCCTCCAAAGGATGTACCAGTAGAGGCAGTTCTCACGGAGCCAACCTCCGGTTTCTCTGTTTCCTTCGTCACATTCGTCACATCCTTGGAGATCTTTGGTCGCTTACTGGGACGCTCATTCTTCTGCTTCTTTTTCTTTTTGTTGTCATTGCGGAGCAACTTTTCCAATTGCAGTATGGTATCCGTCTTGGGCGCTTCTTTCTTGTTGCTGCTAATCACACTTGACAAGGACAATACACGCTTGTTGCTGCGGCTGCTAGAGCCAGAGAGACCGGCTTTGGCTCCTGCTGAGGGTGGCTTGTTGGGCTTATTATTGGGGTTCATCATCATCGTTGCTTGCTTTTGACTACTACCAGGTAGTATGCCTTTACAAAAGGTGCGCCATTGAAATCCCGAGCCCTTTTCGTCATTGGAGTTCTGCTCGAGCGCTCTCGGATACAAGCCGGCAAAGCCTATTTTGCTCACAGAAATGGAGTGTGACTGGAAAATGACAGATGATGATGATCGTGGCACAAGCATCGTGGTGGCAACTAACGCATCGTTGCCTCTACGTTGCAATCTGTACACGTACGGTACAGTCATACGCTACGGGCGCTTTGATGATATATTAGGATGGAGTGGAATGCACGTTGTAACGTGGGGTGATTTCGCAGCTGCAGCGTAGCGTTTCTACTAGTATTTTACCCTCATCCTGGTAGGGGCACGACCTCGGATAGGAATGACGGAGTTGATTGGGCATTACAGCGTGGAACGAAGGGAACCTTCGTGATTTCACAGCTTCAGCGCAGCGTAGCATTGCTACCCTACTCTACTACCGTACAGTCGTGCCGCTACGATCGGTGATGAAAGGCATAGACGCCAAAGCGTGGAATTAGAGAAGATTCCAAATGCAGTGCTGCTCGATTAAGTCATTATTTTCAGTTCACTGAAATTGTTACTACCAATACACGAAACTCTCGTTTATTTCGCTACCTATCTATCTATCTATCTATCATTTCAACAACAATGATCCCTACCACCATGATTCAAGCAATCGTTACTTTGATCCTTGTGCTCTTGACGCTTCCCAGCGTCTTGTGCCCCACCACCCACGCTCCACTTGTCGTCGTTGTGGAGAACGCTACCGCTCCCCAGCTCCAAAGCACCACTGCGGCGTTTGAGCCCGATGCTGCACTCGACAACAACAAGACCGCTACCACCTTTTTCGTCTTTCCTTTCTACGCTGGCCGCCAGGATCACCATGATGAACATCCTGCTGCTGTCATTGCTCCCGCTGCTACCATTATGCTCGATGTGTGCCTCTACGTCTCGGACACGTTCCCTGCTGTGGATGTGACGCCGGCACACTGCTTCTCCACTCTCAAGACTGCCTTCACGGTGGCTACTGACGTTGCGACTGGATGGGTGCACACCAAGGCTTCTTGGAGTGCTTCCTGCATCCGTTTCCAGTCAAGCCTCTCCAATCACTTCCACTGCTGGGTGCAGTTTGCTTCTTCCAAGGTCTCTGACACCAGTGCCACTGTCAGCTCCTCCGTCCAGTCATTGCTCTGGGAGTGTCTCTTGAATTATCTCGGGTGTCTCTGCAAGTGTCTCTGGATATGTCTCTTGCAGTGTCTCCGCACAGCTCCTTCTTGGATTGCTGCCTGTATCCAATTCATTCAGGTTGCCTCCAAGCACTGCAACTCCTTTGTTCAGTTGGCCTCTCCCAAGATTGCCACTGCCACCGCCGCTGTTTGCTCCTGGGCTGGTTCCGTCAAGTTGTTCCTGGAGCCGATCGCCAGGACTGCCACCAATGCCGCCTACAATCGCCTGCTAGACTGTCTCGCCGCTGGGTATCATGTGGCGCATGGTCTTCTGGGCGACTCCTTTTTCCGTATCGCTTTTTGGTTTGTCGTGGGAACGGTAGCCTACAAGGTTCATGAGTGTGTGTCGACATGGCGCAGAAAGCGCACTGAGAAGGCAAAGGAGGCACTCATCATGAAGCAAATTGTAGCGGAAGGCGTGAAGTACTTTGCTGACCATTTCATATTCGCCAGTGAACTCTTCCATTGTGGTTTTGCGGAAAGAGTCACCCCTCACCATCTGTTAGCCAAGTTCGACGAGCGAATTCGGAAGGTCCACCCCGACAAGGGGGGAGATGGATACGAAGCAGGGTCGTTGATCCATACTTTCACGGAAGTCAAGAAAGTTTTTAATAGAGCCGCTCGATATTCCAAGAAGCAAGCCAAGAGAAACTCATCAACTTTCAGTTTGTGCGGCGCATTTTGGCGGTGGCTTACATCTTGGTCCAAGTCTTCTGCTGCCCCCACCATACCAAGCCTTTGTGGAGCGGCAATGGTGAAGCAACTTCAAACAAAAAGAGACGCAGCGGCGCTCCAGGGTAAGCATTGGCCAAGCATGCCCATCCTCCACCCGACGTCTCGCACAGAACCTTGCATTTGCTGGACTTCTGGACCTCGAGCATCTACTCCATTGCCGAAACATTGGCCTTGGTCATTGCCGAAGGAGGAGGCGGAGAAGCCAAAGAAGTCAAAGGATGAGGAGAGGGAGCAGCAGAAGAAGGAGCAAGAACGGAAAGGACCCACCCTTTTAGAGGTATACGGAATTTGCCAGATGGAGTGGACACAGGAGTTGGCGAAGGCCAAGTCCGTTTCCGAGTGTAAAAATGCTCTCGAAATACTCAAGGAAGAAGTTCTGACGGATGAGTACCTGGGTGCATTCCTGCGGACTGGTCGAGTAGATGTTGGAGACTCGAAACCCGCAGCTGTGCAACCAGCGCAAGTGGAACCGGCAGATGTGCAACCAGCGCAAGTGGAGGAGGAAAGAATTGGAGCCATGGATGAATTGGATTAGATGGCAGGATTTGTGAGGGAAAGCGACGTGGAGGAAAGTGCAGAGGCACCGATTCGTTGGGAGGATTCAGCCACTCGGAGGGATGTGGCGTTGGCATGAGGATGACTTGGATGAGTCTGCCACTTGGAGGGATGTGGCGTATGCAATGAATTGATGACTTGGATGAGTCTGCCACTCGGAGGGATGTGGCAAAGACATGATTGGATGACTTTGATGAGTCTGCCACTCGGAGGGATGTGGCGTACGCTTGGATGATTGGATTGGATGAATTGGGAGGAGCCACTCGGAGGGATGTGGCATAGGCGGTTGGGAGGATTCGTGGAAGGAACTTCTCGGGGGAGAATCCAGCACGTGGATTAGATGGATTGGTGCGAAGGAATTGTGGAGGAAGCGACGGGTGGGGAGTGCGGCGGGGAGGAAAGCAGCACACGTATGGAGGTGGATTGGTCCAGAGGGGTTGTGGACGAAACGGGGCGGGGGCAGCACAATAGTGCGTTTTAAAAAGTGGGATTGGGGCAGCACAATAGTGCGATTGCGATTACAAGTGGGATTGTGACGGAAAGTGACGGGGGAAGCAGGCAGCACAGTAGAGGCCGCCAATGTTCATGGGGGGAGGCATTCCGGTTGGATGGGGATCTACACTTTCAAGGGCGGGATTCGATGGCTGGCAAGCAAAATTTTGAGGTCTACGGCTACATCAAAACACTCATCGAGAGTTGACGAAACAGCACATGTACCTACCTGACAAAGCTCCAAGTTGGTATGGTTCGGAGTGGATCTCCAGCGTTTTCGCGAGGAAGAGAACAAGGCCTTCCAGTGGATGGATGAGGATCTACACTTTCAACGGCAAGAGTCGATGGCTACAAGCAAAGGTTGAGGACATGTGTACAGGATCGCCTGATCACACCCCAATACACCTCACTGCAATCATTATTGAGCCGACTTGGGTACATGTTCAGGATCGCCTGTTCATACCCCAATGACCCCTGAGGTCTGCCAAGTACTGATTTTGGAAGGGAATTGTCTGACAAACTGCGGTACCGTCGTATCTGGGCCCAACCGTTCAATAGACTTTTCCAGTAGATGTCCTTGTTGGAGCGAAGGTTCTTCCTTTGGAGTTGCTGTTTCAAGCTGAGTGGAGATGTTGCGCCCTGAGCTAGTGGGTGCATTGCAGGGATGAACGGATTTGATGCCACTCTCAATGGAAGGAAAATGTCTGACAAACTGCGGTACCAGTCGTATCTCGGGCCCAGCCGTTCAATAGACTTTTCCTTGAGTGGCGGTTCTCCCTTTTGGAGGCCGAGTAGAGATTTGTTTGCCGTGAGCCTATGAGGCGCTACCCTTATCCCAGAGCAACAGGGATGGATTCTTGAAGTGAATTGGATGCCATGATCGGACGCCATTGTCAGTGGCTGTGAGCCCAGTATGAGGCGCTACCCTTATCCCAGAGCAACAGGGATGGATTCTTGAAGAAGTAAATTGGATGCCTTGATCGGATGCCATTGTCCGTGGCTGTGAGCTGCGGCTACCCTTATCCCAGAGCAACAGGGATGGATTCTTGAAGAAGTAAATTGGGTGGCTGTGAGCTGCACTACCCTTATCCCATAGCAACAGGGATGGATTCTTGAAAAGGGAATTGGATGCCATGATTGATCGGGCGCCATTGTCAACGGCGCTTCGATCCCTTCAAAACTTGTAAAGACTTGTTACTTTCCAACTTCGTGACTCTCTGTTTCTCGTCTCTCGTCTCTGCGGGTGCATCGTAGTACGAGGTAGTACTGTAGGAGAAAGTAAGCTCATCCAGGTACGAATTGATAGATAGAGAGCATTCGTCAATGATAGTCCCGTACCACCTGGATGTCTGCACCAAAGTCAAAGTCTCCGTTGCCTCCATAGATCGAGCTTCTTCTCAAGGGAATCCAAGGTTGTGAATCTTTGTTGCGCTTGTACGGTACAGTTGAATCAAACCACGCTCATAGATTTGGTTCGAACCTGCTTAGCAGGAGCACCCACCGCCAGAAGTGTCCCATCCCGAGACAGCGATACGGCAGTACGTACCAATGCCATCATGCTGCGGATCACGAGGTGCAATCGGCAGACCCACTGCCTCCCATTCGACTGTGCTGTTCGTTCGTTGTCGTCGTGGACGATAGAGCACGACGCTATTTATTGGCAAAGAAGGAACCACCGGTGGTGCAATGCCAGTACGTAGATCCGAGAAAAAGGCAGCACCCCCACAAAATCGCTTCCAACTTGGCGCAGAGTCATGTTGTGGCGGTCAATCTCAACAACACGGACTCGACCGGGTTCCGTCGTGGCTGCCACGTACGTTCCATTGTCGGATAGTAGTGCCAAGAGTGCCCCCATGGTGATGTGTAATGTAATAGCGCCAATCTCTTGTGCACTACTATCATGAGCTAGTTTGTAATAGTTTGTACAGTACACATACAGACGTTCGGCAGTGGGTGCTGCCACGGCCAGCCGTCATGGGATAACTTGATTTGTTGGTTCCTAACTTTAGAAACCCACTCGCAACCGCATGGCTCACTTCGATCGTCGGGGGCTTGCAATCAATGTGAGGGTGGAATTGCCAAGAACGACTTTGCGTCCAAGCGAAGAAACCGACGGACCCACCATGGCCAAGACAAGTGCAGCAAGTGTAGAAATGGAGAAGGCATCGTCTGGCTGCGGTCCAGAATGGCAATCGTTTGCGTTTCGTTGTTGGTGTTGTTGTTTGTGTGATTCTATTGGATGAATGTAAACTTCCTGTTGATGTGCTGCTTCCAAGATAGATACGACACTACCAATCGTTCTCCATTGCGAGAATCGAATCTGGAAGGGGCTGTGAAAGCCCAGATGCTCCTGCAGCTGACCAAGAATGGCGGCCTGCTGGGTGCATCCAATGGATAGTATCCTTCCTGGGAGAATGAAGCCAATGTTTGGCCCTAATCGGCATCTTTGCTGTCCAAAGCGAGAATTGGTCGCACCGTACCGGTAGATTATTGATTGACAATTAATGAAGATCCAAATAAATATTCCTTCATTGTAGCGAGTCAATTGAGTGGCCGCACAGCCCCGAACGTCATTTTCGAAAAATCTTGCGAAAACTCGGTACCGGTAGGTAGGTAGGAAATGATTCATTCCATTGTTGTGTCAAATACTTTGGATGTGTGCTGGGCAACCAGCTCGATCGTAGCTTTGATGAGTTCTTGGCTGTTCTGTTTCTCACCAGAGTTGGCTAAACAATAGCGAAAAATCGACCATGGCGTTGTTGCAACGGGCAAGAGCCAGCATCAGAGGATGCTCTCCATCTCTCTTAGTTAGCAAGCAGAGAATAATAGAATGCCCCCAGGTGATGGCTTTGAATTCCGCGGCCGTCATGAATGTACGTTGATGAGGTAGACAAGCAAGGGGCCCCGCTCATGCAGTCAGAAAACAATCAAGAAGCAAGGCATGGGGCTGAAGGTGCTCCGTGGAGCCCGCACTAGACTCGACACGACTCTTTCAAGATCATCGCTGCCTTTCTGGGCTCGTTCCATCGTTTGGGATGACCAGTACTGTAGCAGCGGCGTGGGGTCTTCTATTCATAGACTAGACTAGACTAGACCGCGCTTGTTGTGTTGTGTTTCCTTGTGGTCACAGCGATCGAAGGGCAAGGAAGGTCTGGCTGACGTCTGGTCATACTGTATTGACCCAATCAAGAGCGGCGCGGCTGCAATTTGGAAATGCCCTGCATCTATTGTACTCCAGGGTGGGTGAATGCCCAGGCATCTGATGAAGACACCCTGATATGGAATTCACAGGGCAAGGATAGGCTGGGAATTGTTTGCCTCTCTTATTATCGAGCGAGAATAATGAACCTGTCATCGGCGTCCTTTCCTAACTAAAAGGTGTCATTCAATCCGATCCAAAGGATCTCATCTCTCTTTATCTTGATAGTGAGGGAGGGATGGTACCGTAACGTCGTTGGTTCAGCCTCGGACAGTCGAGTCTTGTGGGCAAGGAAGCTCCAAATTTTTGCCTCCGACAGAACCCCTCCTGCATGCCAATGACAGCCATGCGAAAGATGTGCATACCCTGACGAGATTCGATTCCGAACCAGATGTATCTCACACCAGTGAGTCTTTTATAGATAGATAGAAGATTGCCTTTCCTCACTAAAACCAGAAGACCTTGCGTTCCTGCGTCGTGCCCCCCTTGACCTCTGTCTCCGTCCTCCTCTTAGCTCTCTCTAATCCATACTAAAACCAGAAGACTGAAAAAAGCTGAGAAGGTACTAGCTACGGTAGTAGACTAGACTCGGTACAGTAGTCAAGATGATGGTCCATAAGAGCACCAACGGCAAGATCAACCACAAGGAAGAAAATGAACGAATGATCCGCTTGGATGACGCCGTCGACGAGCCGATGGATGGTGATGATGAGAAGGATACTTTGACCAGCAATCATCATCACTCTCTTCCGGAGCATCACATTCCTTTTCCAGCAGCCGAAGATCACAAGCCATGGCACTTTATTATTTCCACCAAGAAATACATCCACACGACGTTGACTGCCGTATTGGCATTGTCTCTGGTGCTGGTCTTGGGGATTGGTCAGTCTTCGTCGTCGTCGAGAGCATCTTCCAGTGCTGCTGCTATCGTTGCGGACAGTACAGCTGGCTCTGGCGGCAAGATACCCTGGGCACCTCTTCCCGATTTCTCCCAACCCATTTCTCGCGTGGCATTTGGTAGTTGCATGAAGGAAGACATGCCCATGCCCTTTTGGGATACGCTGCTCGAGTTCCATCCAGATGTTACCATTTTGGGAGGAGATCAAGTTTACACGCAAGAACAAGATGCCTGCTCTGGACAAGGAAATTGCACTCTGTTAAAGCAAGCGTACGATCAACTAAACAATCACCCCTCCTTTCAAGGAGCCAAGCAGCGGCTTCCAATGCTTGGCATGCTCGATGATCATGACTATGGTCTCAATGATTGCTATGCCGACAATCCCTACAAGGATATTGCCAAGGATCTATACTTTGACTTTATGGATATTCCCCAAGATGACGAACGACGTTTTCGCGACAATGAAGGACTCTACACCAGTTATGAATGGGGATCGGGTGATCAGATTCTCCAACTCATCCTGCTCGACACGCGCTATTCTCGTTCGGAATTCCTCTACGACGATGAGAAATGGGCATACACACCCTACGGGCATGACCAAGATCACGGCAAACAGTTCCTCAGTCCAGCGCAATGGGAATGGTTCGAACAAGTCTTGCAACGACCGGCCAATGTCCGTCTCATTCTCTCCACCCAACAGGTATTGACACAGGGTGAATGGGGATTTGAACATTGGAGTCTCATTCCGCGAGAACTCCGCAAACTCGTGCGTCTCTTGAAAAAGTACTGCAAACACGTCAAGAATCCGTCCTTGCCGGTTCTGCTGTCGGGAGATCGACACATTGGTGCCCTCTACAATGATCCGGCGCTTTGGGACGAACTCTACGAAGTGACAGCCTCGAGCTGGACGCATACTATTCCCGATGGCTGGGATCCCGATGGTGTCAAGTGTTCGACGTATCCCAATCCGGCCGTTGATTGCATCGAACAGGATCCCACTCGTATCGGCGACTGGGTGGGTGTCAATCATTTTGGAATGGTCGACGTCGATTGGCAAGATCGGACCGTTCATCTAACTTTGGTGCGAGCCGAAACGTCTCATGCCTATTATGTCAAACAAAAGTGGCAGTACAATACCGATGCGGGGCAAGTGCTCAAGTCGCTGTCCTTGGATATTCCCTAAGTGGATGGATGGATGGATGGATGGATGGGGAGAGACCCCTTTTGCAACCACCTCCAGACTGGGTCTAGTGACACGTATTACTACCAACTGGTAACTTGCGTACTCAGGCTGATTGAACGTCTTTTTGCAACAAGTCGCGAAAGTAGACGTACATATCTTTTTTACACAGCAACCATGGTTAAAGGTAGATCTTTTACGATTCTTTTGATAACGATGCGTTGTGGATACTGCCACCGAAGATCCATTCCGCCAGTCTCCAGATACCACAGCTCGCCAGATAACATTATAGCTCGAGCCCACAACCGTCCTACCAGTACTGTACTACAAGCATTGCTTTGGATGGTTCAGGATGTTGTCCACCTCGATGATGGTCTCATTCACTGCTTCCATGGAAGCTTCCTTTTTTAAACAATCGCTCCTTTGGCTGCAACTTTCTGTGGGATGACGTAGCTACCGTAGCTGAAGGCTTCTCTCCATTCCAATCCTATTCGAGTGCCAATAACTCTTTGTTGTTACTTCAACAGATTCACCATCAACGTTGTGCTTGAGTACTTCCTACCGTACGGCGGAATGAAGCTCCCGGGCACCCAACAGGATGCGACTGTTTGACTTGTGCATGATACACCAGTACCTCACCCCTTTCAAGTTTGTCGTCTTCGTTGAATGTCCAAAAATCTATATCCCACCATCTCCTGCTTAGCTATTGCCCATCAAGCAAAGTCTACGCCGCTGCTTCATTCCATGGTCCATGCCTCAGAGTCGTTGCTTGTTGCAATGTAACCCAGCCAGCGACAAAGTAAGATCTTCGTCGATCCATATATGAACCCGATACAAAACCAGGTCCTGTCTGTTGCCAGATTGATTGTACAGTACCGGAGATTGCCATTGTGTTGGTCCTCTTTTCTTCAATGCCAGAACATACTTGAGAATGAGATCAGAGCCCAGTCAAGGACACTTTCATGCACTTTCTGTGACCAACCGGTCTTGATTGCCAGTGCACACAATGAACCGGATTTGCTTTTGCTCTCTTGGACTGTCTGTTGCACGATGGACATCCAGAATTGGAGAACTGACACAAGGGAGGAACTGGCTAAAATGAAGACCCAACAGATAGCTTTGCAGCCATGATCCTTTGGTGCAAAATATGTGGACTTCGTTAGTAGGAGAGGTAATTGTTGTATCTATGTAGTTCTTACTGTATTTCTGGGTGTGTTTTCAAAGGTTCAGTTGGATCGTCATCAATCGTTGGGATGGCTCCGTGTGTGCTCTATTCTTGATCAAACACCAGGAGAAGTGAAGTTTCTTGCTTGTGTTCTGTGGATGTCAGTCTGCCATGCTTGATGTCAGTGATGGTACTCGTGGACGCCCCTGCTTGAATATCCCATCGAAAACCACTGGTTTCTTTATTCAAAATGGCAATGGTGGCCTCGACGGCTTCCTTTCCGAGTTGACGGCGCACTGGAATATCGGACTTTTTGTAAGCACGGCTCAGGCCCACCAATCGTTCGCAATGCGCCTTGTTGATGGATTCCACAGCGGATACATACTGCTCGGGGGACAGTTTTCCACGAAGAATCGAAGCATCAAAGGGTGCCTTGGCATTGAAGAACCATCCCGATCCCTGGAGCTCCATCACGTTGGGTCCAAAATTGCTTAATTGGAGTCGAGGAAGTTTGTCGGTGAAAGCTGGAACTTCACTTTCCAACTGTTCCATGGTGTATTTGCTATTGGAGCCTCCCATTATTGTATCTGTCTTCTGTATCCAGTAGTGTGGGTTCTGTTGCGGTTGCTTTACTATATTATGAGAACAGCTTTGAATTTGTGTGGTAGCTTTCTGGGTCAAATGTCTAGCTAGAGGAGCTCTTGCAGGTTGGACACGGTACCTGTATGGATGCGGAGTGTTGCTCTTCCAAGTGTTAGTTTCTTTCTTGGATGAAGATTGCAAATCTATCTGTTGTCTGCTGTTGTGTTTCTGCATGTTCCGTGCGGTGTCTTCGCGAACAAATCGCCAAACTTTCCGCTTTCCCACGGATTCGGATTGAATTGTCTTTTCCCCGGATCAGATTTCTACGTGTCATGCGGGTACCTCTATCCTTAATCAAGGAGAAGTGCAACCAAAGCTGTTAGTCTAGAAAGGTATTCGGTTTTTTTCAGCGTTCGTCTCTTGATTCCTTTGTTCCAGCTCCCTCACTCAGTTATTAATACCTCACATTGGATCCTTATGACGAATGCATGCACAAACGAATATTGTCAATCCAGCCATTGTAGCCGGCTGCCGTATAGTTACATCGACGACAGTGGCAACAGTACCGAACACACTCAGGTTGCTCCCTACTGCACTACGCTAAAAGCTAGTGTAAAGATCTTTCGAGTGTTTTGAGTTTGAGAGAATGAAAGTTATGATGGAGATTAGAAAGCTATGAAGAACTAATCAACGGAGAGATCACATCAAGGATCGTAGGATCTGAACTCCCGCGGGAGATATAAAGTGTGATAGAGTAGGTTGCGGTAGCAATCCTACTCACTCCACGATCCAAAAACGGAACGCGTGAAGATCGTCTAGCATTTATCTATAGCGTGTGGTCTCTCCACACCAGGCTAAATATCTAGGCGATGTTTCATCATCGCTCTAGTATGACTAAGCGGTTATGGAACACCTGTCTCATGACTATTCACGAAAGACTCAGTCATGTAGTCGAACTCAACCCTATCTAGGATCGAGTCGCGAATAAGGCTAGAGCCTGTATTGCATTCGCCCCGGAAAGGGTCACGGAAGGCCGACATCAGATCGGCAAGGAGAACATATGAATTAAAGTCGGGGCCTACCTCAGAGATTTGGATGTAAGAATGTGTCGTCGGCAGCGATGGCACATCCAACCAGGAGAGTGATCAGACCTTTGTCATGGGTGTAAATACACTCTTATGTTAACAATGATCATGGTAAGACTAGTGCCGTTATTGGCGGAGTCTATGCTAAACAGATCGCTACCAAGTGCCATATGTTATTGAACGTCGGTCAGTGTAACCAACCTATTGTGATATTTGTTTGAATTTTTTTTTGTATTTTTGTTTATGTCTCCCTACTTTCTTAGTCTTTATTTCGTTCTTTTTTTGTTTATATCTTTATTTATGCCAATTTAATCATTATCGTTATCTATGTTTGTAGGTACACGTGTTCTGCTGTTCTCTTTATGTTTTTTCTGCATTTTCTGTTTGGCGGTTTTGATGTATTTTTTCGTTAATGTGCTGCTTGACGAACACATTTTGGTGTCGATACTTTTCATCAGAGTTGAAGACACGTATGTATTGCGACGAAGTGACACTGTGGGCGTCATCGCGCGAGTCGGTTTCGATCATATTTCATGCGAGCAGAGACTCGCTCTCTGACGCATAGACAGTTCCCGTCGATGGGTACTTTCAGCCCTACGTCGTTGACTTAGACACGCCAATGTTTGGTATCATTGGTCCAGTTTGACCCGAAGTTGCGCGGAATGGTCCTATCGTGAGGAGCGAGAGACTGTGACTCGCGATCTTATCCGATGACTCACCTTATTCTGAGATCAGCTGGTATGGATTGGACCTCGTCTGTTTAATAAGGTTGGTGGTTCATTGTCAAGATAACTAATCGTTTCCTTCCTTTCGTAGGAAGGCGCTTGAACTTGTCTAGTTAGTTGACTTTCGAGTAATCAAGCTGATACTAGTTCGGACTTTCGGAAAGTTGTGTGTGCTTTTAGCGATTGGAAGATAGTTGGTATTCATCTAACTATTCAACGTGATTTACTAGATCGTCGTACAGTAGGATGAGTTGATCATCAACGTTGCACGGACATTTTCTAAGTCATGCATGAGTGTGTTTTTCATCTTCCTTGTTGAAGATGTCGGGACTACTGTAAATGGCCCATTGCAACCTCTGTACTCGTGCTTCACCTTCGGGAGTGATGGTACAGTGTTGCTTCCAGTGAGGTGACAGCTACGACTGTGATATGTACCCTTTTCAGGTTAGACTAGTATCGTACTTGAATCCATCTAGATTAAAGTGCATGTCCTGTATCATTTTGGAGAGACTAGGGACCACTTAAATAAGGCTTCCACTTAATCCTTTGGTTCGGTTCCCGAAATCAAGATGGAAATCGTGCAGATCCCTTTTTCTTGGGAATGATAAAGCTGGTGCCGCCCACTCGGAACGATTCACCTTCTTTGAGTCAGCCTGCCGTCGACAGAGACGTTCAACCCTGTTTTGAGAGTGTTGGTACGGAATACGTGGAGTAGGTGGAGCCCTAGTATAATAGGATTTAGCGTCGCGACGAAGTTCTACTTTAAGTATCGTCCCATTTGCACTTTCACCAAAGTACCTTCTACTCTGGTCGGAGCACCTTGGCTTGAGAAGGCATGAGCATTCCTTGCTCTTCCTTTTTTACCTGGTTTTGACTCTTGCACATCTGCCTTTAGTCAGTTTGTTCGTTTGTATGCCTCACGATTTTCTTAGCTATCTGCATTGTCGTTGACAGCTGCAGTATCGGGAATGGAGAAGTTGTCCTTTCTATCGGTATTGCCATCTTTCGCAGGGAAAAATATGCCGTTCCACTCCACTGACATGTCGTGAATCATCACTTGATTCTTAGGTTCGGTGGGAGTGTCCTGACCTATGATCATGTATTGCGCCCCCAAGTTTTTGGTGGCGTGCAAGTTCCTTTCGATAATTCTATCTTCGCGGACTTCAGGATATGGTGTGCCCTCACACTTCGTGCGGGGTTTCTATTCCTTCATAGAAGCATTCCATAATGTTTGGATCCCGTGATTCTATGGGAAGTAACTTCTTCGCATGAGTTTGGTAATTAAGTTACGTGATGCTCCTGTATCAGTATGCACATGGTTGTTACGGGGCTTTTGTTTCCTTTCTTCTTCTTTCTGTTATATTAATGCCGGTTAGTTTTGAGGTTTCTTGTCTTGCGACGTTTATTTTGGCCATGGACGAAGTTGATGATGCTGAACAGATCGTTCGCGTCTAGTTTTGAGCAGTTTGTAGGCAATTATCTAATTTGCGGTAGACTTCATCAGTTGCAAACCAATCTTGTTTACTATTTAGTTGATTGATTCTATCTTTGGTATGAGAATCGGAACATGGTTCCGAAGAATCATCATCCTGGCCTAAACATCAGACGGAGATCTCTCAATACGAATGATTGAAGTCGAATTCGGCAAGCGCCTTGTCAACGCCAGCCATTTTCTTCTCCATCATTGTTGATGGATTCAACTGAGGAGTCGTTCCTGTTTGTTCGGAGTGTCTTACTTGGTTTTGGCAACATGGTTGCGTTTGCTTTTCTTCTTGCGTTCGGCCTTGACCGCAGCGTTTTAGACTTTCTTCATAAGGAACTAAAGTTCCTTTTTGGTGTTGGTCTTGGTGTCGTCGGATTTGCGTTTCAAAGTCATCTGTTCTTGTTGTACGCTGTCTTTTTATCGTTGTCAGACAAGGACTTAGACTTGGCCTTTAGCTTCTTCAGAGTCATGCAAGAAGCAGTATTGTGAGTGCTGGACTCGTGGTAGTCGCACCATTTTTTCTTCGTTCTTGGAAGGATGGTCGTTGTTGCGATTAGAAGTAGACTATGGATTTTTTCTTTTTTTGGGTTTTTTGGGTTTTTGTTATTTTCTTTTTCTTCGGGGCTTAGCTTGCTTTGTGATTCCGCCTTGTCAGTCTTCGGAGTGCTTCCATGCTGTTACAGATTCCAATGGCTTCTCTTCTTTT